TTAGGTGGTGAAAAAGCTAGAATCCCAAGATCCAACCACATGGCCCATCAAGTATCTGAATCTTCTTTGGATCTCGCGGGTCCGGCCGTCATACCCTGCCACCCGCAATCAGGTGCGCCCCTTACGTTGCTGCCCGTGCAACATGTTATCTGGACGAACTCCTTTGAAATTTAAACTTACCTCTGAAAATCACAAAACTGTTTCCACTTTTTGGGTAACATGGGCTATATGTCTGAAAAAGATGAACACTTTTTCAGGGCAAAAGGAGTTTTAAGGGGTAAGTTAAAGGAACCTTCTGCCCGGTCCCGGGAAAGCGGAGCAAACTACTTGCTTGACATGGTCAAGTCGTCCAGCAAAAGGTCCGGAACGTTCCAGTGGTGGAAATGATGCCCTAGAATTCGCCCCCCAAAATTGGGAAGATCATAAGCGTGAGATACTAGCTTTCCATTGGACCCACACAAAGTGATACACTTTTTGCAGAGGGTCAGCAGCAACCAAGGAGAGGTACACCCTTAAGCAAGCGCTCGAGTAGAGACTACGGATAGATGCGAAGCTTTCAAGCAGGGAGCCTGTTTGTCATGACGCGCTGCATCTGGTCGAATGGTGAAGTTGCTTCTGTGGAATGTATGTTTATATGTGTATATCTATATGCATGTTGCATACATGTAGATACTCTATAAAATGTGCTTGTACCAAAATAAGCACATGCAGATACACACATATACGTATACATAGGTACACATACATCAAAATAGACACAACGCACATGCTACCATTTACTGATTGGTGGACGGCCAAGAGGTTCATATCTAGAGGCTGGTAGGCAAGCAGGTATGGCTACCTCTAGGTTGTACATCATGGGGGAAACCCTTGGTTACCTACTGAGTTACTATAGTAACTTCCTGCAAGCACTGGGTGAGAACACTTGAGTCACAATCAAGATGCGGGTAATTGGAGGGTACTACGGGGCAATCCAGCCATAAATGGGTGCGGCCGCCTGTTCGATTCTTTTACATGGTTCTGGGTAGACCATTTTATTCCCGGTTTTGATTGTGACTCACTTTGCGCTTGCAGGTTGGCGCTTGTCACATTTGCACTGGGCTCCCCCGAAAGAACCCACAGCTTTTTTTCGCTGGGATGTGTTCCAAAGTCCGGCACCTTTTACACAGCACTTGCCCAGTGGCACCTTTGGTTGTTTTCTTTTCTTCGGGTCAGGTTCCCTTTGACATAAGCCAAGCAAACGTTGGTGTGCTTTTCCTCACCGCCTCTCCTATGGCCACGGACAACTGTTGATTTCGTGTCCTTGGTTCGGGGCCTCCTCATTTCGAATTTGTGAACTATCTCGTAGTAATTTGCACAGATATGTTAAAACAGAGAGAAACAAAAGGAAAGCAAGGGCACCCCATTTGCCGTGGTTGTTTACAGGGAAACAAAACGGAGAACCACATTTTTGGGCATCCCCTACTTCGAGACACTATGTTTGACAAGCCCATGATCTTTGGCAAACCCCCCCCACCCACACCCGGGCAGGCCATGCACCGGAGCGCATCTGGAGCTGGAGCCTTGCGGAAGGGTTCAAGTGGTGGTTTGCCGACCTTTACTTCCAGCGTTCCCTCAGGGCTCCTTGAAAGATACATTTTGCAACCATTTGAAACATGTTTTTTTTTTCAGCAAAATACAGGGAACCCGCAATTTACAAGGCAATGTTCAGGTGTATAATATAAAGATCCCTGTTCCCTTCCCTCCCGTTGCCACATGCATGGTTCTGTGTTATTTAGTTGGTTTAAAGGGAAATGGAAAGGACAACCAACCACCATGGTTGGGGTCCAAATCCCTTTTTTGCTCACTTCCTGAGTTCCTGGACTTCGTACGTGTCGTGTTTGGACCAGTTGAGTGGCAACCAAAAAGCCTTGGACTTTTGGCTCACCTCTTTGAATCAACCAGGGGCTCAACCAAGAGGGTTCCTGCAAGGGGCTGGTTTTCTAGGTTCGCAGAAAGCAGATCCCGATTGAGACGAGGTGCCTATCAAATCCGGTTTTGGACTGTAGAAACCCAAGTGCATTTTGCTCGGCTGCTAGAAACTTATTTGCCAACGAGTTTGGGTTTTCCGTACTAAACCACTAAAAGTTAGCCACTTTTAGCAGGGGAACAGATTTCGCCGCCGAGTGAAAATGATCGAGGTTTGTTGCTGCTCGGCATTCGATCATTCCAACTTCCAACTCCACCGGCTCTTTAAAGGACGGCGTATTCGCGTGCCCTGCCGCGCTGGATGAATGTTGCAACAACAGGTTCTTGCTTTGGATGATGGAACGGAGTAAGACACACGAAGAAGCAACCCTGGACTTGAGCAACTTGAGGATAAGTCAGGATCTGACTAAACATGCAGGGAAAACATCAAATTGCCCACACAACGTTCCCAATCAAAGAGTTTAGAGTTGCAGAGATTCTTCCGGAATGCAGGAACCTAAGAACTGTAGGAACCTAAGAAGCCTTCGCAAAAAAGGATTAACACAAAACAGAAAGCAGGAAATGAGCCGTGTGTCAAACGACTGTGGCCACTTGCCGCTTGCCCGAGGCAATCTTGGCCAGGCCGAGGGATGGGGAGGCTTACGGGGATAGCTTGAGCTGCTATTGGGTTGTATATGGTTGTATTTTTAACCTTTCCCAGTGCTTTCAGGCAAGCCTCTATAGTAGGCAAGCAGGGCTGTAGCCATACCGAAGGGTTACCTGCAAAAGTGGTATCTGGAAGCACTGGCTTTAACTTGTTGTTTTTTCCCTCCCACCTGCACTGCTTCACAATATTGATGTCTCCTGCGCTTGGCGGGCAGTCTTTCGTCTTTCCTGCCAGGTGTTTCCGGCTGCATTACTTTGTTGCCCAGTGGTGCCCTTTTTTCAAGTTTTGTTTGGACAGGGTCCCAATTGGAAATTTACTGGGCATCTGAGATTAAGCGGGCCGAGGCAAAGGAGCACCTAGACGCTTAAGCTTTCTTGCAAGGGTGCCGCAGCTCAGAGTTTGAATGGCTCTCTCAGCCATCCTGTTCCTTAGCTTTTTAGATCCTTTTAGCTGGTTTAGTGGTAGTTTCCGTATTTAGCCCGCTAAAAGTTAGTCACTTTTAGCGGGGGATCTGAGGGCAGCCCAGTTCTCATCGGGTTTCGATCACTTGCACAGGACAATGTGTGTAGCATCCTAGGACGCATTTGTTGAACTCCATTTGTGATCACCCAAAGGGTCAGGTGTACTTTGCAACCTTTCAAAGTAATTTGGGTGCCCTTTCGAAAATGCTTCTTTTGTTGTTGTTGGCACGCAAGAAGTAAGCCACTGTGCCACTGGTCCTCGGGCATGCCTCCACCAAAAGGGCGCAAAGCACCGAGAAAGCTTCGTCCAGGCATGCCTCGCCCAACATGCTCTTCTAAGAGACCAACTTCCACCAAAGGGCACCTCGTTTTAATTCGCGGGGAAGGGGTTGCTTTGAAGGGAAGAAGCCCGTTCGGAACACCCACAGAACAGCCACGGGTTTGAGAGAAAGACGACCAACCGGAAAACCACAAACCTCCCCCCCACACCCCCCACACCCCCCACACCCCCCACACACCCCACACACCCCACACACCCCACACACCCCACACCCCCCACACCCCCCCACACACCCCACACCCCCCCACATCCCCCCACACCCCCACATCCCCCTTCGACACATTGACATATGTGGCCTTTTCGAAGGCCGGAGCCGCGGATGGATCCCAGCGCCGGGCTCAGGTTCGGGCTTGTCTTGTGCTCAGGTTCCGCGCTTTCCGAGGTGTCCTTTTTGGGTGGTTGGCTAAAAAAATAGAGGGCCCTGGGTCAGATTTGTTTTTTCCCATTTACCATGGCCATCTATTGTTCCAATAGGCCACCTATGTTTTTCCGTGTTTCCTAAGGGTATCCGAGCCCAGTTTGTTCTTCGAGGAGTGCTGATTTTCGCGTCCCAGTGAGCCTGTCCCTTTAGAAGACGACACGCTCTTTCATGGTCGTCTTTTTCGTCCAAGGGCGGATCGTTTGACGCCCTTCAAGTTGTGTTCTCATTTGGCCCGGCACGACATTATCTCAAACGTGGGATGCCTCAAGAATTCCCAGTGCTTTCAAGTAGAAACCAGGCGGGAACCATGATGTAGAACCTGGAGGTAGCCATGGCTGACTATAGTGGTTACGCACTATCGTGGCAAGTGGAAGCACTGGGATTTGCGTTGCGTTGATGGACAGTGCGTGTCCTTTAGCTTGCTGGAAGGGAGGCAGGGTCCTTTGACCAAATCGGAGCGCATTTGCTAGCACAAGTTCATGAATGCTGACCCCAGATTAAATCAACCCCAGCTTAATAGCGTGAGAGTGTTCCCCTCCAAAAGTGGTCTGATTCCCCACTACACCCAGAAATGGACACTTCCCCTATTAATGAACTGGGGTTGCTAAATCCGGGGCTGCCGTTTCAGGCGCTGAAGGCTTCATCTTTTTGACTTCCTTCATTGGGAGGGTCAAATCATCGAGGGGGTGGCATGGACTTGCCTGGCTGAAGGCATTGATGGTGTTCAGCTTGCCGCGTTGTTCACCAGTACTCAGCGTTTCAGACCACTGACAGGACCAGTCATGCAGATGCCTGGTAGGATTGTGAATTTCTGAATGCCTCAGGTTAGGCAGAATGTCAAGCTTGTTGAATGCCATATTCCGATGCTGTTCGTTCACTTACAGACGCTGCGCGCCAAAGCTCAACCCGCAGCAATGGGATCCAGCCCATGAGCGTCTCAAGGGGGACTTCGCTTCCGGGGGCGTGAAGCACCAAAGAAAGCAACAGACAAAGAGCAACGTGCAGAGGTTATGCTAGGAACCCCCCATTGACAGCACATGATGAAAGCTAGGCTGTAGAAAAGCCAAGTGTAAGAACACAAAGAAACTCCCCAGCAGGCAGTATGACTGGCCGTTCAACTGAAGAAGTAAGGAAATGTGAAGGGGCTTCACTTCACGAGTGACCGCTGGATTTTCCAGCTAGTCTGTGGAAGTGCCTTGCAGCCATGCCACTTCCTGACAAAATATCCAGGCGCGGGTGAGGGTCTCGCAAATTGAGCCTGTGTGAGCCAGATGGGTCTCGGAGAGTGGATTTTTTTGACCTCACCAACACGAAGGTTCCTTACTCGCGGTCTGTGTGTGTGTGTGTGTGTGTGCGGTTTGAATTATAATAGTTTGCACGGATGGGATGATGTCACTGCGGGTCGGCTTTTTGATGCCAGGTTTCCAATTTCCCTTGTGAATCAAAATATGTATTTGCCATCGGTTTAGACTCCAGTTGAGCCATAATTACTCGTTTAGTATCCGGAGGGATCTCTTTTTATGCTGCAGAGGCCCCACGTAGGCAAAGCTGGTGGGGAGAGGGGTTGCCTGGTGGCAGTCCGCGTAGGCTGTGCTTTTGTCAGCGAACTCTGTTGGCTCGTAGGCTGCTTGCGAAACTCGACAAATGTGTACTTCACAAAGCTTGTAAGTATGCCCTGCGTAGGCATTCGCGCAGGCTTGCAGACAATTTGCTGTTCAGGCCTCTCGTAGCTTGTCTCGGTCTTTGCCCCGCTGAGAACATGAAGCCTTCTTTCGCCAAGCAGAAGAAAGGCTACGCAAAGCTGCTACCAAGACATGCCGTCAGACTGCCTGACGAGTCCACACCCCACGCAGTGTGGCGTAAGCACCCTTGTTTACACACCGGAGGCATCGCGTAGGCATGGCTTGGGGCAACAAAGCAATCTTTGGTTGGCTTTCCCGTGTCCTGAATCTTCTCCATACAAATCTAAAAATCACATCCCTGCCGAATTTTGCGGGGATGTGACAGATGATGTCGTTCGCAATGCTCCTGGTTCCTGTTCCGCGCCGAGGAGAAGGCAGGCGGAAGTTTCCACCAACGGATCCTCCACGCCGCGCTCATGGAACGGCTTCCTGTCACTGAGGACATTGGCAATGGGAGCCACTTTGCCTGAAAGTGCACTCTGCGTGAAATGGTGGGGTTCGTTTTGGTTTCCCTGTGAAACTAGCGAAGGGTCCTGAGAGAGCGAGAGAGAGGGAGAGAGACAGAGAATGAGAAAGGCAACCTTTGGACAAACTCAGGTGACAGAGCTGCCAAGTGTATTCCTGATTGTGCCACAACCTTCGAGTTTCAATTTTCCACCAAAAGATGAAGGCAGGGCACAAGATGGCTTAGAGTCCTCGATGCCGCCTGAGGTGACGGTGGTGGTGCTGATATGCCGCTGGGCCAAAACTTTCTTGCACTTCGCCTGTCTTGCAACTGACCCTGGGCTTCCCTGGGCGCAAAGGGCCGAGAGCCCAAGGAAAGACTCCACCTGGAACATGCCAGTTTGTGGGCCTAGTCCTGCCTGGGTTTCACCGGACTCAAAGAAAGCTTATAGGAATACCTATTAACAGCGGTACCCTCCCCCAGACGCTTCCATGGAAGCTCCCGAAGCGACCCTTCCACCCTTTGGAAGACATGGCTTTATTTAAGGACCGGCCTTCTGAAAGCTTCCATGTTAGGAGGGAGTGTAGTTGATTTCCTGGGTGTAGGTTGGGAATCGGAGCACTTTAGGAATTGGCCAAAAACCAGCCCCTAGTAAGCTGGACTAATCTGAGGTTCCCATTACCTCAATACTTACTATAGGTGTTTTTCTTGGGTTTAGTTGGGAATCAGACCACTTTCGAAGGGGCTTAAAAAACCACCCCCCCCTATTAAGTTAATCCGCTGCTTTGAATCTGTTCCCAGTACCTCAGAACACGGGCACCTAGGCAGCTTGCAGCTGGTACTGTTGCTGAGCCATACAGACACCGCCTATGAGTCCCAGAGCCAAAGCTCCCGGCTGTGGCACTACCTCCAGGCAGCGCGATGGCTTGGAGCAACTTTGTTTTTTGGGTTTTTGGCTCGAATTGGGCAGATCTTTGCATTTGGGAGATGCATTTGTTTTTTGTTGCAGGCTAGGGGCAGATCTTCGCATCTGGGAGATGTGTTTTCATTTTTTTGCAGAAGGTGTGAGGCAAGAGGTTACCGCAGCCGTGTCCAGGTTACTTTACTGCCGTGCATGCATGTTTGATGAGTACGTTGCAATGTTTCGCAACTACATTGAATCCAAAACACAACGGGCATCGTCAGACACAAACATTTGAACCACTGGGCGGAAGGGGCGTTGTAAGACACTGGGCATACTTGTTTGAGTGATTTTTAAGGGACACCAAAGCAAGGGCCGAATTGCAAACAGATCAGGTGGGGGGGTGTACTTTCGTTGGAGCTATTAAGGGACACCAATGAACAAACCACCGTATTGGGGTCCACTATTTTAGATACACATGACGATTGCTAGGTGCACGAAGCCAACCTGACAGCACTGGCGCTTCAGCAAAGGGAGCTGCTTGGCTCTTGGTTCTCCGGGAATTTACCGTTGTGTTTTTTTGTTTTTTGTTTTTGCTGGGCTTATTACTTTTAAGCTGTTTTCTGGGGGTTAAGTCAGAAACTCGGGCTGTTTCCCCTTAACCTAGTGCGGGGGGGCGACTTAACAGATGAGGCCAAGAGCTCCCAGGGACCCCAGACGGGCCGCCTTGGCTTTGCCCTCGCTTGAGCAATCCCGGACTTTAGCCACTTTTGGGTTTTGGGAACGCCATTTTTGGCGGCCGAAAAGTTTGGCTACGATTTTTGGCCAATTCATTATTGTTCTGAGGCGGCATGATGGAAACATGAGTGGTACAGGGGGTCGGGTGCATGTTGAACATGTCTGGGGCGCGGCAGGGTGTTCGACTCCTATCTGGGCTGCATGGTTTCCCACCTCCTTCGTAGCTTGACCGGACGCACCCATGATTGCCATTTCAACGTTCCTGGTTCACAAGGGGGGGGTCTTCGATACGTACGAAGATGACCTGCCTACAGAAGGCTTGTAATACTTAGCACTTCTGGCAAGCGGTGTCAGCTTTGGGTCCGTCTTCTCTCCAGTTGCGACTTCTCTCCCAAAAGGAAGCTGAAGAATGATGACGCCCCGCTCAGTTCCGCTAAGGTTGACCAGACTCCTCGGACAGCTGAACACCCTAGTCGTTGGCCAGCAGCGTCTTGTCAGAGGTATGTGTCCGACCTCGCTTGCCCAACTCGGGGTGTTTCGTGCTGCAACTCTCACCTAGTGCTTCCGGTTGCCAGGTATAGCTACCTCTAGGGTTCCTCTAGGTTTTACCTCATGGTTTCCCCTAGTTACCTACTTGCGTGGTAGCTGGGAGCACTGGGTTATGATCAGGCTTGTGAAGAAGGCAGGCAACCTTAAATCATTCGCATTGCTCCATCATCAAAAGAGCATTCTCCACTTTTTGGTAACATGGGCTATATGTCTGTAAAAGATGAGAACTTCCCCAGGGCAAAAGGAGTGTTAAGGGGTAAGATCATAGAAGATCCCAGGTCCTTGGAGGACACAAGTGGTCGCCCGCCCATTTTTCAACCGCAAGGTGCGGGTTGGCGCCGATAGCTGGCGCAAAAAGACTTGGTAGGGGGCGTGCTGCTCTTGTCGGATTAAAAATATAAAATTTATTAGAAAAAGTGAGGACACTTAAATCCCTACGGGACTGAGATTCAAGACACATGCAAGCAAATTGCTGTGACGAATGGATTTGAAGCGAGTGCTTTCGGTGGTAGGGAACACGCCCAAAATCAAAGCCCTTGGAGCCTCGGTACGGGGTCGTCCTGACCCGAAGGGAGGGTTCCCAAAGGCTTCCTTTGGTTGGAACCTTGAGGAGCCCCAGGGCTCTCAACCACCCACCCCCCTTCTACGACTCTGTTGCCCAGTGGTGCCCTTCTTTCCTTTTGGTTGGTTGTTGGGTAAGGGTTCCCCTTTAAACAAAAGAAGGGTGGCTTTTTCCCATGGCCACTGGGCGTCTGAGATTAACCCCCTTTTCGGGATATGGTGCAACACAACCGAGCTTGAAGCTCGTAGGGTGTGGCGATTTCTTGGGAAGAGGAGCCCCCGTTTCTGTTGCCAGTGCTTCCTTCCGGCAGTTTGCCACTGCGACAGGTAACCCCGCGGTCTTGTTTGTACCTCTCAGTTTCACCTTGATGGGGAAACCCCTGGCCTGCCATATTGGCGAAACGCCTGGAAGGAAGCATTGGGGTGATTTCAAAGGGAAACCAACGAACAAAAAGCACCAATGGATCTTCGGACGGAAGACCCCTGGACCTTTGGCAGGGAACGAGCGCAATCGAACAAGAGGCTTTTCCAGAACCAAGTTCCATCCAAAAAACCCATCAAACATCCCAGTCGCTAGAACCATAGGCTTAGCAAAAAGGAAAAAACACACATAGGCCACTGCTTTAAACTGGTCTTCACACAAAGGCCTGGTTCCATTGGGGCCAAGGGGCGCCGGGGGGGCCTTTTGGTCCAGGCAGGCGCTCCGCCAAGTGGAGGGTCAGCTGACCAACCTGCCGGCCGCGGTTCTGCCAGTGGGCACCGCGGATAGTGCAAGGGCCTGAGACGGCTTGGGACTTGACCAGCTTCCGAGGTGGGAGCTTCCCCAGAATTCGCTCCCCTTTATCATTTGTTGTTTGCTTTTTTGGGGTCCCTTTGTTCTCCACTGACCAGGCCGAAGCACTTTTTTTGTGGCTGGGGTCCTAATTCCAGCCGGGAGGTGGGAGAGAGGAGGGTTGTGAGCAGTGTCCTTGGCTTGAACACTTATTTGCTTCCGTTCAAAAAGGCCGGCTAAGCAGCTATATACAGTATGTTCATAATTATTGTTGCATCTTGTTTTTTCCTTGTCGACATGAAGCGGGCCCCCACCTAAATCATGCAAATCCCACTGGCAGCGCTAGCTTCGCGCTAGCTCGGCGCTAGGTCGGGGACGTTAGTTGACGTGGCACGTGAGATGCGCACGCATGGCCCTTCTGTCCGGTGGCTCTCAGCGCTCGAGGCATTCCTTGCTCGCAACGCGAAAGTGCTGCGTCTGCCAAGAGATCTGCACGTGTCTTTTGCGAAAGTGACGCGCCTGCCATGCCTGCCCTTCCGAAAGCGTTGCGCCTGTCACGAAATCTGTATCGGACCTTGCGACACGTGACCCTGCGAAAAATAAGAAAACATGGGCAGTTTTTCGCGCTAGCTCCGCGCTAGCTCCGCGCTAGCGCCGCGCTAGCAGGCAGTTGCCAACTTGAACACGTGGGCACGTGCCTGGTTGGAGGCAATACCCAAGAAACCGCTTGCATGTTTCTTTGCTGTAGTTGGTAGTCAGGCCAAGTAAAGCTATATACGCATTTCCCTTTTGCTACTTGCTGAAGATGTGGTGTAGTTAAATATCCTATAGCAGCAGCTTTAAGAAAAGGCCCGCGCTAGTGCGCCTGTCAGTTATTTGCACGTTTCTTAGTCAAACGTATTGTGCCGCAATGGTTACGTGTTCATATGGCCCGAATGATACGGGCCCCCATGGAATGGCGATTTACGCTACAAAACTGGGAGCCAACATTTTGACAACCAGCCTTATCCATGTCAATGAGTTGCTCTGAGGGTCCAAAGTCAATCGTTTCGCGCCTTGGCTGTGTGTCTGAGGCTGTGACGCGGAAGATGAAGGAGCTGAACAAAGATCATCTGGACGAGCTGGAAAGGCGACCGGGCGATCGATCCGGTGAGCTCTGTGCAGTCCGGTGGACGCGATGTGTGAGAGACTTTAAGGGCTCATTTCTAGTTCGAGTCACAGTTGTTTGCAAACCGCTGCAAACCTTTTAACCTGTTGTTTTTCCCTGTTTGCTCAACTTTTCGCAAGGGTCCCAAAGGCTTAACCTTTGATTTATAGGTCCTTTGGGCCAGTGAACATGGTTGTAAGGTTTGCAGCCGTTAGCAAGCCAGCTTTATCTGAACAGTGGATACGGTCAAGTCTGTGATTGTCCACTGGGCCGTGGGCCTTGTTTCTGGGCGATAATTTTGGCATCACTGCGGCTTGCATCAATGAAGAATTCTTGAACAACAGGGGCCGTTCACCAGTTGTCGTTTTTCAGCGGTGTCTGCCGGTTTTTGCCCATGACTGCCCCCAAAGATCGGACTGATTTTGAGACATGCCCATGGCCATATTTTTGTCAGTCGCTGGCCTAAGCTTCGATCAGGCAGCAGCGGGAGATCCAGTCGCTGCAGGCGGCGCTGAAGAGTTTGTCCGCGCACACGGCCCAGGTGCCAGTGCCGGAGGTCGGCGGCGGATTCGGAGTGGAGTCTGGGGGCGTCGTATATGAGCACTGGGGCATAGAGAGCCATCTTTTCAATGGGGGGCGGACAGGAAGAGATGTTTTTTTGACACACGCACACACAATTGGCTGGAGCGGTTGGCATGTACTTGAGCACTTGCTCCGGGTCGCCCTCGTCACCCGAGGGAATCCCATAGATTTCTTTGTTGGCTGTTTCGAAAGCAACGCTAGGTTTCTTGTGTTGCTTCCTGTGTTGAGCACAAGGTTACGGAGTCATGGAGGCAGCAAAAAACAGAAGAACCAAGATGCTTGTTTGTAACAAGGCAGAACAATTTGCTGGAAGTATTAGCTGAAGCGATGGAATCCACCAAGTTGTACTGGGGGGCTGGTGGAAGGTTGCCATTGGAGCCTTTGACGTGCGCCCGAATGCCCAGCGGCACATGGTGTGTGTCAAAACATTGGGGACCCGCCAAATTGATTGCAGTTCTCCTTTAGGTGTCCTGTGAAAACCTACCCAAACAGGGCGCCCGCAAAAAACACACACACACACACCCACTCGCTCCCTGAGTTCCTGGACTTGCAACTTTTTGGAAATTCCATTTAGTGGTCGATAAATAAAAAGTTCGGACTACTTTTGGCCAATCAACTCGGGAAGTGAGCCCATGTGTGTTTTCCTTGCTTCAGCGGGGGTTCCTGCCCAACTCCTGGCGGTGTTCGAGCTTCGAGCAGGCCCATTCCGTGCCGCCGGAAGTGGCGGTCCAGCCGCCGGTCCTTTCGCCGTCGCCGCCAGCGATCGTGGAAGGACGGGGCTTGTGAACTTCTATTTAGGCCTAGTTCGAACCCCCTTCCAAAATAGTGTCTTGCTTGCTTTTGGACTTTCACAGCTGAAAGCTGTGGCGTCTTTGCCCAGATTGGTTCTGGGTGGTTTGGGGCAGATTTCCGGAGGGTTTCAGAGGGTTCCGGAGCTGGATTCATTTGTCCCCGGAACGGACACCCAGTAATGTGCTTTCTGTTTGCCTGGTTTGTCGGAGGGTGTTTGTTCTTGAAAATGAACTACCAAACAAGTCTCTTCCGTTCGATGGAAATTGCAAAGGATCGCGTGTTGTTTTCTGCCTCAGCCCAGCAGCATTTGCCAGGAGCTTCCTTGGATGTGTCGGGCGGAGAGGCCGCGAAGGCCAAACATTGGGCGTTTGGGAAGGATGGGGCATTTGGATATGTGACTTCTCACTATTTCCAGTCTCTGTGGATTTCTGCGGCGAGCGGTTTAATCGAGTTTTTTTCAATCGAGTACCGCAGCTCAGAGCTATATGAATGGGCAGATGGTTGCGTGACTTTTCTTCGGTGGCTTCATTCAACCTGTGTGTGTGTGTGTGTGTCTCGTTCATTTGCCAGGCTGCTGGCAAGTGCTGGTTTCCCTGCAGCGAGGGCAAGTTAGGAACATGTTGGGTTCTTTGGTGAAGTGAAATCGTCTATGGCACACAATTCATGCGATGGGGGCTTCTTGAGTTCATGGACTTTGAACTTTGGGCAAGGCACAAATTTGCGGCAAACAAACGGGCTTTTCCAGCCAACCCACACAGGAAGTGAGTCAAAGATGTGGATATCGGTCGGCCAATGCTGGTTGAAGCACGTTAAAAGGGTTCAACCATCCGAGCCTCCAACAAATGACCAAACACTCGCGACAGATGAACCCCAGTTCTTCCAGTCACCACTATAGTCTCACTTGCTAAGTTCATGGACTCTAAACTTGAAGTCGATTTGTGTGGGAAACTTCTTGGGCCATCCACGGAAGCGAGTAGTAGGTAGGCAAATATGGTTATTTTTGGGCTTTACATCATGCCTGACAGAGTTGGCTTCTTGGCACCTCGCTTGAAGCGAAGCCGCTCCTTGATGCTTAGGCTGCCTTAACCGGGATTTGGACCGCTGGTTCCTTGAATTGTACAATGGTATTCCCGCAAAACACCTCCAAACAACTGCACATGCATGGTTCTGTGCTTCTTGGTTGGTTTAAAGGAACATGAACAGGACAGCCACCCATGCCACCATGGTTCAGATCGGTCCAAATCCGATCCAATGACGCCGAAATCGGAAGCCGAGTGCCGAGTTCAGGACTTCCCTGAGGAATGGCTGGCGCACTTCTCGAGAGCCGATCTGGAGGCGGATTGGTGAGGCTTCTGGCGATCGAGCGAGGGGGCCATCCGGTAGGTGTGTGTCAGGCCAGAGCTTGTGTTCTTGTGTTTTTGTGTTTTTGTGTTTGTGTATCTAGCCCCAGTATTGCCCTTTTACCCATGTTTGGGGGAGGGTTGCCCTACGAAAATTGGCTACAGAAAAAATGGGCACGCTTATTCCAACCTCTCTACTGGAGGACCTAGGTGTGTTTCGGTAGTAGGCCTGGCTCCGGAACGCACGTTTGGTACCCCTGAATTGGTGGATTGGTGGGTTGGGGATTTGAACCCTAGATCCTTTTGTGACCCAGCGGGAAAGGCAACCCTCCAAAAAAACACCAGCCAGGGTAAGGTGAGCCTGTGGACCCTTCCTCATATCCTGAGCTCCTGTTTTTTTTTTTTTTTTTTTTTTTTTTTTTTTTTTTTTTTTTTTTTTTTAACTTGTTGGGTAGAGCATTTTAGTGGTAAGCAAACATTTTGGACTCTTTCTGAGCAATCCACTTACTTCCATTTTGTTAGGAATATATTTTATTTTCCCCTGTTGGTTTTAAAGGGAATCTATCACTACTGGAAATATGTTCTCATTTTTTCCAGGGGCTTAGGAAGTGAGCTTGGGAGATCTTTCAGGGTCTCGCCTGTTGCAACCGCCAGTTTTTGCCGAGGTTCGGTCGCTGTTGCCACGTTTGGTGAGCGTCCGCGTCAGGCATCGGCCAAAGAAGCGGAGAAGTGGCGCCAGATGGCCAGGACAGATTCGGCCTAATGAATGACTCGAGGCCTCGAGTGGCCTGGGTTTCAAGTGGTTGGCCGTTCCGCCACCAGGGGCCCTATCATGGTTGTTGTTGGGCAACGTCAACCAAGCTATGACACAGGATTGCACGTGCCAAAGACAAAAGCGGGATGGATCAACGGGGCCGGTCGGCTGCGTCCGACTCCAAAGGGGCGGGGTTGTTGAACGCCTGGGCATCGACAAGTGGAGGTCTGAGGTGAAGGCTTGGACTCCCGCGAGTCGCGCGAGGAATGCCGCAGAACATGCCTGGAGAGGCTACAAGGAGCGAGCGGCTTGTAGAAAATGAGGGAATATCCGCATTTGTTTGCAAGACAACCCCGGTGTTTCCATTTGCTTGTATAGTAGGTAACCATGAGAAATGCCCTTTAAACACCAAATCAAAATGGCTGGTTTCCTCCAAATCTGGTTACTGGGATCCACTAAGAACCCTATGCCAAAACGAGGGGCGTGAGTGCCATCCGAAATGGGCTGCTTGCCCTCAACGTGCCACATGCAATGATCTAATTGACATAACTGAGTTCTAGTTTGCCAAAAGGGAAGCCAAAATTCTCAAAAATGCTTTGCATGCGCATTGTGTGAATTTCACCTTCCTCTCCTGCTCTTTTTTTGTGGTATCCTTCAGTATCCCACACAAGTGGGGTCCACAGATTCGTCACATCCAAGCCGCTTTCTAGGAGCAGGGGATGTGCATCTGGTTTTTGACCCATGGCTTTCCCAGCCCGGTCAAGGCCAACGCTGCATCCGAGGCATGGGGCAAGGACGAGATGAAGCCGGTCTCTGGCAGCCCGGGCCGGGTCTGGGGCAACGTGGGCCTTCAGATGCTCGGAAGCACCAGGCTTCGACATCTTCGCTTCCTGAGCCCATGGACTTTCAACTTTTCGGGCTTCGAATGGCAAACAGACCGTTTGGACTTTTTGTTGGCCAATCTACGCAGCAAGTGAGCCCATGTGTGTTTTCCTTGTTTCAAGTGAGCATTTTCACAGATCTGGCTTTCTTTGTTTGGTGAAACTCGGAATCTGGGGCGGTGTCCTCACCTGCTCCACTTTTCTGGACATCTGAACATAAATCAGATATTCACATGCACATGCACAGGCACATGCACAAACATACCAGCGTGCATATACGTACATGTACATGACACACATGACATACGCATACACATAAACATGCACAACACATATGCAAACACACATACATACATACATACATACATACATACATACATACATGTATATAGTTGTTTCAGCGGGTGCCCAATACTTAAATCACAGCCGCCATCACTAGGCATGTGGATGGGTTTACCGGCTAACACAAACCATATGTATATATATATATAATAATAATAATAATAATAATAATAATAATAATAATAATAATATTAATAATAATACTAATAATCTTTGCTCTTGATTGATAGGGCCCCCTACGACAAGCCTGGGTCCAAATTGTGGGGGGGTGGAAGGGGGGAGGGGAAGGCAGAGAGACAAGAAAGAAGAAAAGTGAAGGGCAATTTAAAATTAAATTGAAGGTGCAGTGTTTTTGTGGAATTCTGGTTTGTAGATGGCATTTATTCTGAGGGGGTTTTATTATTGTAGGGGGTAGTGTAGGCCTGGCAGCTGGTTTGTGTTGCTAACCAATAATGTGAGGGGTGTTATTATTGTAGGGGTGGTGTTTCTTGTGTGCAAGGGGCTGGGCTGAAGCAGTGCAAGCACTGGAGCAGGCAATGGGTGCAGCCATGGAGCAAGACTTGTATGTAGCAAGCAGAATGAAAAGTCTAAGGTCTTCAGTACAAGCTGAGTACTTGGGATTGCAAGTTTTGGTGCTGATGAATTTTGGGATTTTGGAATTGTTTGGAGCTTTTGGTTTGGGAATGTGGGAACCAGTGGCTGCAGGGCTTGGCCATTCTTCTGGGTACTGCTATTATTGTAGGGGGGCACCGCTTGCTGAGCCTTGCTGTGCAGAAGTCCATGCAAGGATGAAAAGTCTAAGGTCTTCAGTACAAGCTGAGTACTTGGGATTGCAAGTTTTGGTGCTGATGAAGTTTGGGGTTTTGGAATTGTTTGGAGCTTTTGGTTTGGGAATGTGGGAGCCAGTGGCTGCAGGGCTTGGCCATTATTCTGGGTAATGCTATTATTGTAGGGGGGCACCGCTTGCTGAGCCATGCTGTGCAGAAGTCCATGCAAGGATGAAAAGTCTAAGGTCTTCAGTACAAGCTGAGTACTTGGGATTGCAAGCTTTGGTGCTGGTGAAGTTTGGGATTTTGGAATTGTTTGGAGCTTTGGGTTTGGGAATTTGTGGGCCAGTGGTTGCAGGGCTTGGCCACTATTCTGGGCACTGCCACCGCTTGCTTCAGGGTCACTGAAGTGCCAAGCAAATGGGTTGGTAATTGCTTGGGCAACTATTCTTGGGATTGCAAGTTTTGGTGCTGTGAAGTTTGGGATTTGGAATTGTTTGGAGCTTTTGGTTTGGGAATGTGGGCCAGTGGTGCAGGGCTTGGCCACTATTCTGGGTACTGCTATTATTGTAGGGGGGCGCCGCTTGCTGAGCCTTGCTGTGCAGAAGTCCATGCAAGGATGAAAAGTCTAATGTCTTCAGTACAAGCTGAGTACTTGGGATTGCAAGTTTTGGTGCTGATGAAGTTTGGGATTTTGGAATTGTTTAATTAGAGCTTTGGGTTTGGGAATTTGGGGGCCAGTGGCTGCAGGGCTTGGCAATTCTTCTGGGTAATGCTATTATTGTAGGGGGGCACGCTTGCTGAGCCTTGCTGCAGAAGCCTGCAAGGATGTCTGCGCAGAAGCCCAGGCAAGGAGCTTTGGGTTTGGGAATTGGGGGCCAGTGGCTGCAGGGCTTGGTCTGGGTAATGCTATTATTGTAGGGGGGCACCGCTTGCTGAGCCTTGTGCGCAGAACAGGCAAGGATGAAAAGTCTAAGGTCTGAGTACTTGGGATTGCAAGTTTTGGTGCTGATGAAGTTTGGGCTTTGGGAATTGTTTGGAGCTTTTGGTTTGGGAATGTGGGAACCAGTGGCTGCAGGGCTTGGCCATTATTCTGGGTAATGCTATTATTGTAGGGGGGCACCGCTTGCTGAGCCTTGCCGTGCAGAAGTCCATGCAAGGATGAAAAGTCTAAGGTCTTCAGTACAAGCTGAGCACTTGGGATTGCAAGTTTTGGTGCTGATGAAGTTTTGAATTTTGGAATTGTTTGGAGCTTTTGGTTTGGGAATGTGGGAACCAGTGGCTGCAGGGCTTGGCTATTATTCTAGGTCATGCTATTATTGTAGGGGGGCACCGCTTGCTGAGCCTTGCTGTGCAGAAGTCCATGCAAGGATGAAAAGTCTAAGGTCAGTACAAGCTGAGCACTTGGGATTGCAAGTTTTGGTGCTGGTGAAGTTTGGGATTTTGGAATTGTTTGGAGCTTTGGGTTTGGGAATTTGGCTGCCCGTGGCTCTAGGGCTTGGCCATTATTCTGGGTACTGCTACTATTGTAGGGGGGGACTGCTTGCTGAGCCTTGCTGTGCAGAAGTCCATGCAAGGATGAAAAGTCTAAGGTCTTTAGTACAAGCTGAGTTGCAAGTTTTGGTGCTGGTGAAGCGTGTTGGAGCTTTGGGTTTGGGAATGGAACTGAGCACTGCTGAAACTCAAAGACAACCCCCAGAGCTGAAAAAAAGCCAAAGCCACCACAGCAAGAGGAAAGGAGCCAGCACGAGGAAAAAGACGCCACCAGGAATTCAACCTAGGACCTTGCGCTTTCGAAGGCAACGCCTTATCCATTACACCAAAGAGATCTGTCAACCAGGCGGCGCGGGAAGGAATTCTGCTTGATCTGGCCCCCCGCTTGTCCCTTTGCTGTGGGGTTGTCGGCCTGAACTCAGCAGGCTGGCTAGGTCAAGCAACCCCAAGGGTCCAAGCTGGCCCTGCCACACCTGGAGCCACAGGCAAGGCCACAAAGTGCTGGGAAGCACACAACCTCCAGCACCAAACAGGTCTCCAAAACTGGCACTGCCACAGTGGAAGCTGGAGCAAAAAGGCAGGACAAGTGCCCGATTTGGTTTGCCACACCAGGGGAGCTCACTGAAGCCACGGGCCAGGCAGCAAGTGCTGGCGAAGCACCAGGGTCCAATAAACAACCCAAAGCCACCAACAAGTTTCCAAAGCAGCCCTGTCACACCAGTGGAACCTCGATGGGCCACAGGCAAGGCTTGCAAGTGCTGAGGAAGCAGCAGGTTTCAATAAACAACCCGAAGCACCCAACACGTGTCCAAAGGTGGCAAGGCTGCTTTGGACACTTGTTGGGTGCCTTTGGGTCTGCACTTGCAAGCCTTGCCTGTGGCCCATCGAGGTTCCACTGGTGTGCCAGGCTGCTTTGGACACGTGTTGGGTGCTTCGGGTTGTTTATTGAGGTGTGTCAAGTGAAAGTTCACTGGACCACCAGGCGAAGGCTTCTGGGAAGCACCAGATACAACAAGTCTCCAAACTGGCACTGGAAGTTCACTTGGCCTCCAGGCAAGGCCGCAAGCGGTGGGAAGCAAAATTGCTCCACCACATCAGCAGAAGCATTGTTACAGGAGAACTGAGCACTTCTGAAACTCAAAGACAACCCCCAGAGCAGAAAAAAAGCCAAAGCCACCACAGCAAGAGGAAAGGAACCAGCACAAGGAAAAAGACGCCACCGAGAATCAAACTCAAAATCTTGTGGTTACAAAGGCAACGCATTGACCATTACACCAAAGAGATCTGTCACCCAGGCGGCGCGGGAAGGGCTGTCGGCCTGAACTCAGCAGGCTGGCTAGGTCAAGCAACCCCAAAGGTCCAAGGTGTGGGGGAGGCAGTGCTGGAGTCCAAGAAACCTTGTGTTTGTTTGCTTGGCCACCGGGTTTGCATTGCAATTAGTAGTGGGGAGATTAAAACTAGTATTCGAATTTTGGGAGTTCTGGCCTTGGAAAAGTTCTTATTCCGGGGGGATTTCTTGTGTCAATTGGGGCACCAAGACTAAACTATGTATTGGCTAATTAAAAATAAGTATTGGATTTTTTCTGGCCCGGGGCGAGAAAAAGTCATTATTCCGGGTGGATTTATTAATCAAGTCCTAAAATTTATTAATAATATATACATACACATCCACATATATATATATGTATACATATATACGCATGCGTGTTTCCTGGAGTGCCCAATACCGTGTGGAAAGCAATCGCCCTGAGGATCCTGGACGCCTTGTCCACTTTGTGGCTCATGGACCTCAAGGCGCGGCTTACGCTTCGCCGGCGCTGGCAGTGGTCCCAGGATTTTTGTCCCAAGCGAATCGACCGGAGCTGACCTTTTGGTTTATCCCCACTTTGGCCCATTTTTAGAGGTGCCAAAAGGTGAACATTTTTATTTTTTTTAGTAGAGGTGCCAAAAGTGATCACCTTTTTTAGTTCTGGGTGCTTTGGGGGCAACTGAGGTGTCCAGGATTTGTCCTTGTTGGTCTGTTTGTTGTTGAGGGTAGCTGGTTTTTGGTGGGTCTCAAAGAGAAACCGAAAGCAGAACCGAAGCCAGACCTTTGATGCAATAGGGGTTTATGAATCCTGGCCTCCCTGTTGCAAAGACAGCCCAAAGGACAACCATGAAAAGTCCCCAAACCCGCTTGGGATGTTTGGATGTTCTTTGTACATAGAGTTATCTCACACCACCTGCTCCCGAGTTGAGATCTGTGTTTTTTTCCGCCCCGATGACTCGGGATGTGGACACATGACTGGACTTCAAAACTACGGGACTCGGCAGCCTCAGGCGTGCTCTCTTTCGGGAAGCGTTTTCTTGGAGACATCGAGAGGGCAGCCAAGATTTTGCCTTGGGGCGATGTTAAGTTGTCATGTTGCCATCCCCAGCCTGGGCGAAGCTTCAGGCAGGCAAAGCTAACTCATAACCATGTGAGAGTATGGCCAAATCAGAGGCATGGATGTGTATTTCCCAGATGCACAGTTTTCCTGCAAACGACGCCGAAGCCTGGCAAGACTGATTTCGGAGAATGTGAGCATGCTTCAGAACTTTGGGTCGGAACTTACGATTTTGGCACCTGGAAGGCCATCAAAAGCCGAACCATGCATTGGCCCCATTTTTTGTTTTTCCTTTGGCAGGGGTCCGCAGATGTCCATTTTTAACAGGTTTAGCCATTGCCTTTTAGTGGCGACTTTTAGATGAGTTTCCTCTTGGTGGAGGTGGAGTGATGAATAGGGAACACAGTTTGGCCGCTGCTCCAGCGAAAGTTTGTGATGTGACGCCCTTCGCGTTTGACGCGGGCTGTGTAGCAGTGGCCGTAGATGTTCCGAAAGCCAGAATAGTGAGTTTTCCTCCCTTTGAGCCGTTGGGCCGCCAAAAACTCTAGGGGTTAATTCCCCCTTCTTTTCAACCATCGTTCTTTTCCCAAACAGGCTGTTTCCCCTGGGTTTTTGATGGTTTCGTAAAAACAACCTGAATTGAGCCTCCAAGAACAGGCATTTGGAGCCATTTGGTTTTGTTTGGTTTGGAGGTGTTCCGGGGGCTATACCCCAACAAATCCGGAGGGCTCGCTCGAGTCCCACCGCGAGCCAGGAGCAGTTTAACGAGGGCGCGGACTTTGTGGAGAAGCAGCTGCAGCTGCCTGGCGAGACGGGAGCCTGCGCTGGCCCTCGAAAAGGTGGTTTTTGTTTTTGTTTTTGGTTTTCTGCTTTGACATGAGGCCGAACCACTTGCCCTGGCCCAAAAAACCGGTTGTTGTTTTTCCCCCCTTTTTCTGCTTTGACATGAGCCCCAATCAACACCCAAGGGGCGCCCTACGTGGTTTTACGTTGGCCAGCAAGTTGGAACGCTCAGCTAGCAACCGACCATGAATTGCTTGCAGTCTGGTTCATTGGTGGGAGGCTGCCCAAATGCATCCAAATGCACCTGGTGAGGACGACTTGCAAGTATTGGCAAGTGGTGAGGTGGGTGGGTTTTCACTAGGACAAGCTGGCCCTCGGAGAAATTGCGGTACCAAGACGACAAGTTTGCTCATATGGCTGTATTTTATAGCTTGGGATGCTCCCCTCCAGGGGTGATGAACCCCCATATTTGATAAATATGGATTTATGATTATTGGGTCGACGTTGCGTCTAGAAAGTCTTGGAGGGGTGTTCCGAGGCCGATACTAGTCAGGAAACCAGAGAACATCTGGACACGTGCTGTGTCACCTGCATGGCTTTCTTGGAGGAGGGATGGTCACGAGGGACACCCTCCTATAAATACACCAGGGATTCAGAATAAATCATTTCGGGTTTCCAATAGCACCCCCAGCATCATCTATATAAAGCTTGTTGTCCCTCCAAGCGAATCTTGACGCATGCGGCGGACTTGCTTGGCACCTCAAGAGAATATTCCGCCATACCAATTACCTGCCGGTAGGTTGGTCTTGAGAGGAAGGGAATATCCAGACGTTTTGAGATCGCAGAATGTCCCGAATCTCCAAGATGAGAGCCTCATGCAGGTCGTACATCCCAGTTTGCCAGCACAAGCGCGCCGCGCCCACCTACTCCACGTTCGGACGCTTTGGGATGGGCGCTGCGAGGTTTGATCACCCCGGCCTCGTGTCCTTTTTCGAGATCACCATCCGTGGCTTAGGCCGATTTGCCCCCCATGGGATCGGATACTTGAAATGCCAATGCATCTGAGCCAGGCAAAAACCGCCGAGTCTTTATGGCAATTTGGTACCGGATCTTGACGTCAACTGTTTGGTTGCAACAGCTCGAAATTCCATACCCACAAAATGTGAGACACTTTTTGCAGAAGGGTCGTTGCGGCACTCACTTGCTCATGTCTAAGATTCATGGATTCCTTATCCCCCGATTGCAACTTCTTCCCGTCCCGGTAAAATTGCGGGGACCCCGCCAAGGGGGGCGGTAAGCAATCCATGGTTGGAAGGTGCTGAGGGTGGATCCATTTACTCGGTGTTGCAGGTGGCCAAGGGAACCACCCGATGTAAAACCAAAAAATGACAAGAGCAAGGGTTACCTACCATAAGGGCTTGCAGCCGAGATCCACACGGAAGAAGTTCAGAAGTTGTTTTTTTTCTTCTTCTTTTTCCCCCGTTGAACCTGTTCAGGCGGCCTGCTCTCCGCGCACTCGCTCTCTGGACGGCCCATGTTTCTTCAGAAGGCACAGGACCGGCGCCCGGCACCTCCCTTGCTGGCTGGGGGGCGCGGGGGTTCATAGGATTGGTTCAAGGGCATAGGTGCTCTTTTTGGTTCTTTTGGTAGACATGAGCGGGGGGGTGGGTTTTGGAGGGTAACTTACTTCCTCGATTGGACTCGGGTCACTTCTTAGGTTTGGACGATTCCAGTGGAAAGTAACATGTTTGGTTACGGTTTAGAGGCACAGGTGTTGTTTTGGAAGAAAATGGATGGCCCTGGTTGACCTGTTTGTTTTATCTACCAGGGCCATCCATTTTCCCAGAAGGACGCCCATGTTCAGAGGCACCACTTGGTTGTGTATTGTGTAAATTCAAGGATGCGCCCAAGCTGTCGGCGGTCACGCAAGAATTGGCTTTCAGGAATGTTCTTGTGATTCTGTGGCTTTGTTCGAAGGAAGTTTAGAAGTCTAACTTCCGACAATATCGACAACTCAAGCAGAGCAGTGCAGAGCGAGAGATAGAGAGAGAGAGAGAAGAAGAGATGAAGAAGCGATGAAGAAAGATGAAGAAGCGATGAAGAAAGATGAAGCATGGTGTGCGAAATGTTAGAAAGGTCGCGAAATGCTGTATTTTTCAATGTTTTGAGCCTCCAGACGGCCCAGAAGTTACTTCGGTAAAGCGGCGGGTGCGGAGCCTTTGGTCGGAATTGCTGGCAAAAAATCGCACGCGGCCTGCGCGCGGTGCACATTTGGAAGTCAAAATCGTAAAAACACTACATGCTCGGGCTACTTTTGGAAGCTCCAACTTTCAAAAATCGCACGCGGCCTGCGCGCGGTGCACATTTGGAAGTCAAAATCGTAAAAACCTGAGAGGGTCGGGCTACTTTTGGAAGCTCCAACTTTCAAAAATCGCACGCGGCCTGCGCGCGGTGCGCGTTTTTAAGATGCAATGTAGCTTGACAGCGGTAAAACGCATTGGAATGGCAACGCGCAAGGCTTTTATCTAACTTGGAAAAATGCGTGGCGCCTGCGCGCGGTGCGCGTTTTTAAGATGCAATGTAGCTTGACAGTGGTAAAACACATTGGAATGGCAACGCGCAAGGCTTTCATCCAATTTGGAAAAAATGCGTGGCGCTTGCGCGCGGTGCGCATTTCTAAGATGGAATGCAGCTTGGCAGTGGTAAAACGCATTGGAATGGCAACGCGCAAGGCATCCTACGCTGCCCTGTTGAGTTAGTCGCGCTCTAGATAGATAGACAGACAGACAGATAGATAGATAGATAGATAGATAGAAAGCTGGAAAGATAGAGAGACAAGTAGACAGATAGATAGAGAGGTAGACAGGCAGATAGATAGGTAGATAGACAGATAGATAGATAGATAGGGAGGTAATGTCGCTGTGACCGTGTGGCGTTTCGGCTCTGTCTTGTCAGTTGCTCCGCGTATGTCATGTTTGTTCAATGTCCCGGTTTTCGTCACCAGCATCACTAGCATCACCACCACCACTGTTCATGTTTGTTCATGTCCCGGCTTCAATCGCGGAGCGGCAACTCACATCACCACCACCACTACCACCACTACACTTTCACCAGCACTCCCACCAGCACCACACACAGGCCGAGAACATGTTAATGTTCTAGTTTGTTGTTTGTCACCAGCCGACCTACCAGCATCACGCTCAGGCGGACAACCTCTTGATGTTTTTTTTTTTAGTTTGTGTTCCCACAGAACGCATATACTTCCACAGACACATGCCAGTGACATCGTTTCCTTGTGTATCCCGCACGGTGGAGCGCGTCTTTTCTGACCGCTCCGGACGCCATGGCAGACGCATTTGATAAGACGGTGGCGTTTTTGGCAGCCTACTCGCAGGAGCTTGTGCAAATGAAGAAGCCGACGCTTACAGCTTTGCTCAACAGCAAGCGGCGCAGTCAGGTACCAGAGTGGGAGCGAGCCAGAAATTTCTGCAGACGAAAACTTTCAAGCTTGGAGCCAGCTCAGCAGCAGATTTTGGAAGACTGGGAGTTTGTGCTTTGTGACAAGTCCACGTTGGAGGCTGCGCCTTTTCTGGCCGGCCTTCAATGCTGTTTTTGCCGCGTGGAGGCATTTTTGACAGAGACGGCAGAGGCGATAAGATACTCAAGCAAGCCAAGCTTGCTGGCAGCTTTGCAGAGTCGACACATGCAGGAATTTCAAATGTCGAGCTTTTGCCGTGTTTTCCTGCTGCGCTATAGCGACCGCTTGGCGTCTGCGGAAAAGGATTTTTTGCTTGCAAAGGAAGCTGAGTTGTGTCAAGTGAGTGCTGCGGCAAAAGAAGCTGCAGCATCGCGTCGTGCTCCTGCCTTTGTCGAAGTGCAAGCCTTCTTCGCTCAGAATGCTGTTGAAATTGCTCAGCTACAGAAGCAAAGCTTGTCAGCTGTTGTCAGCAGCAACCGCGCGAATTCCGACACACGTTGGAAGCAAGCTAAGAATTTCTTCGACAGGCACGTGGCATTGTTGAATGCCGACCAGAAAGAGCATTTAGAAGACTGGGAGTTTGTGCTTTGTGACAAGTCCAAGTTGGAGGCTGCGCCTTTTCTGGCCGGCCTTCAACACAGATGGAATTTTTGTAGAATACCATCGAGACAACACATGGCTGTCGTTCAGGGCTTACTTACCGAAATTCATTTCAGGCTCCTTAAAAAACATAGGGCTTTCGGGTACCTCGTGTTTTTTTCCTGGTCGTGAATACACGGACTGTACTAAAAAACGAAAAGCATGTGCTCAGCAGCTCATTGATCGTCGCTCAGTAGTCAGTCAAATAGATTTGTTTAAAAACAGGACGCCTTCAAATTGGGGAACCGCTGGTGTTGTCTTCGGTGACTTAAATATACGGGCAGTACCGAGAACTTTGCAGGTATAATCTCCGCAATGCGTGCTGCAATGGCTCAAAGCCTCACTTTAGGCATGAGCCAACTGGCATGATGCAGCACCACAGCAGCATCACAAACCACAGCATCACGGATCGACACACAGCTCACACACACACACCACACGCATAGAAGCACATCACACCACACGCACGAGCACATCTCGCAGCTTTTTTTTTATATTGCCTGGTTCAGCTTTTCTGCCCGCCTGACAACGTGCGAGCCTGCGCGCGGCTTTTCTGCCCGCCAGGCAGCGCCATGGCTCACGTGGATGCCGATTTTCTTGCGCTGGCAAAGCGATTTGGCCAGATGCTGCCACCGGGTCCGGCAATGTTTTGGGGCGGTGTTCTGGACAACTACGAGAAAGGCAACATTCCGAAAGAAATCGTGATCAAAAGCATGAATGCCCTTGAAGACATTCCAAATGCGGCGCAGTCAAATGCCGCAAGTGCCCCCGCGCAGTATTCATCTGGTGCGTCTTTTCTGACCGCCTCCACTGCGCCTGGAAGCCCGCGACCTCCTGCTTCCTCAGCTGGCGGATGCGATGATACTGGCTCGAGTGTCTCTGCCGCATGGACGAATCCGCCAGCATCACTGTACCACCAACCGCCAGGCTGGAACATGTGGTGGGGAAAAGGGTTCCCCCCACCGTGGCCCCCGCTTCCTCCAGGCACTGATCAATGGGCAAACATGTACGGCTGGCATGGGACTGGAAAAAAAAGCGGTGCGAAAGCCGCCGGCAAAAAAGGTGGGTCGAACGCCGGCAAAAAAGGAAAGGCGAAGGGGTTCCGCAAAGCTGACATGACTGCGCGTGATTTGTCTGAGGCGGAAGCGCGAATGCAACGTTTCATGGACCAGCATCCTGATTTTGTGTTTCGGCCCAGGGAGGCAGTGCCGGAGGACATGCAGGCAGCGTACGATGTCTTAGGAGAGTCTGGGCCGCAGTTCTGGAAGTCTTTGCGGCATCACTTGCCGGGGGATGCTCAAGCGCACATTGCACAGGGACTTGTGCAGTTCATGGCAGAGCGCTCATCGTGGAGCGTGGATCAAACGTGCATGAGAGAAAAGTCCCGCAAAGAGCGCCGTGAGCGTGATGCCAACAGCTCGAGGTTGTCTGCGGCCACAGGCTATACTGGCCGCAGCCAGGCCACAGCGAGGTAGGTGTGTCTTTTCTGACCGCCTCCTCAGCGCCGTGCAAGCTGTTGCACGAGCAGTTGCAGGAAGTATACGGTGCATCTTTTCTGATCGCCGTATACTTGCGCCGCGCCGGCGCAGCCGTGTTACTTGGCAGGAGTGAAGGAGTCAGCAGCCGATTTGCGAAGAAAACTACTCGGATTGACACATGCGTGTTTGTAGTAATTCTAGCACTCAGTTCGCAAATAGTGTAAACCGTTTGGAGGTGGTTGGATTCTTTTGTTTTCCCTTCAAGGATTACCAAAAAGGGTCCCTTTATTTTGACATCAGTTCGCATGTTGTCCCATGCTAGCCCCCTAGCTCATTCACATTCCTTGGAAGTCCAGATTCACTTGCCACGAAATACGTAGGTCTCAGAATAGGGGTACCCCTGGCCTTGGAAACCATGGGGATTGAATCAAGTACGATGGGTCTCTAAGCAGCTATAATCAAACATACGTGAGACAAGTACCAAGCATTGAAATGGGAAATTGCAGGTAGCTGAATTGCACGAGGTTTTTGAATCCACATGTGTTGTGATTGGTACCATGGAAGACTTCATTGATCCAAAGAATAGGTCGCGCTACTACGGGTCCGTGATTTGTGTCCCTACTAGGAGCCACCATTTTTTTATGGGGAACCACCATTGCTGTAAGCATTCGATAACATTTTGAAGGAAGTTGATCACCTCTGGTCGGTGCTTTTTTTGTGGTTTCGCTCTACTGCCACAAAGAAGTTTGTCAGAATACAAAGTCTCCTGTGTGGTTGGTTTTTTGAAAAACGAGGCTCCCGACATCGGGAATTTTGCAGGGCACCTTGCTGTCAACGTTGGCTTACCTCATGTTGAAATGACTGATTTTTGAAAATGCTCGACCTGCTCAAAGCCTCACATCAGGCATGAGTCAACTGGCATACTTCAACAGCATCACAAAAACACCGCACAGCACACACACACACACACACGCACACGCAAGGTCTACCTAAAGGCTCATCGCCACACACATCACATCACAGCACACGCGCAGCCTCGCAAGTTTTGTTTGGTTCTGCTTTTGCTGGGTGCGGCTTTTCTGCCCGCCTGGCAACTTGCTTGGCGCGGCTTTTCTGCCCGCCTGGCAACTGCAGTAGCCTAGGCGCGGCTTTTCTGCCCGCCTGGCGTCGCCATGGCTGGCAGACCTTCTGCGAGACTCGGTGTCCGACCTGCCTTCTTGGATTGGCTTTTACGCCGGTGGCAAAACGGACGTTTGCCACCCGAGATGGGACTCGGATTTTGACGGGGCCAAGGCCGATCGGGATGGCTTGACCGAGGCTTTAGCTTCCACTACAGTGGTGGTGCCGGCGTTGCTGCTCTGGCTTGATGACTTCATGACTGCACACAGGGTGCACAGCTGCTGGAAGCACACGCTGGACGGTGGCTGTCTCTGGCATCAGTTCGAGCAGGGTGGCGACAATTATTTGTTCAACGCCATGTGGGCCTTGACTTTGACTGTGGTGTGCTGGCTGCGCCACGTGTGCAAAGGCAAGAAAGTGCCACAGGTCCGGCTGATTTGTCTTTGCAATGCTGGCAAGCATCGCAGCGTGTTCTCTTCGCGGATGCTATACTTTGTGCTCCAGCTTCTTTACGACCTGCTGGGGATCCAGCAGCGAAGGTTTACTTGGCAGTGGGCCGCGGGGCGAGTGCAAGCGGAGCTGAGCGAAGCAGCTCAATGCCGCGACAACAAGGCGGCGAAAGTCTGCTTCCGACAGGCGGACCTGGTGGTGTCGCGCACCCGACGGATGTTCCTTGGCGGCCGAGTTCCGGCGCACTTGCGCAGCGTGCAGCTGTTGGACAAGGACCTTCGAGAGACGTCCACGACTGTATCCGCTGGCTACAGCGATATTTGCCTCGACACGCGCAAGTTCATCCAAGCGGCTGCCGCCGAGCGCGGCACGCCCCTCAGAAAAGCTTGGCTGGCAGACTGGCTGGAAGGCGCCGGCCTCGCTGCCCTTACCGCTCAAGGCCGCGCTGTACTTCAGCAAGCTTCCCGCGTGCGTATGGCCCGCCACTGGTGCCCTATCATGCGCGCTCTGCAGCAAGCTTTCCCGGAGCGCTGTGGCTTGTGCGCCTGTCCCTTTCAGCTCAGCACGCCTTGGGACACGCTTGCAGCGGAAATACACGAGCACTTCATTTCTACTGGGGATGGTGCGTCTTTTCTGACCACCTCCCCGGAAGCAGCGTCTGTTGCGGCTTTTTTGAACGCTTCCCCAAGAGCAGCCTCTGGCAGTGGTGCGGCTTTTCTGCCCGCCGCTGCCGGGGAAGGTGCGTCTTTTCTGACCGCCTCCCCGAAAGCAGCCACGACTCGCAGACCTGCGTGGGCTGACGTGCAGGACGACTCTGCCCACGCCGCGGCTGCGCCCAGCGCCAAGAAAAAGAAAAGGGTGTCCTTCGCGCCAGAGGTGGCCCAATCTGCCGCGGCCGACGTGGAGGACACCGCGCTGTGCTTGGTGCTGCCTTGCGATGCCCCACTAGGCGTGCTCTTTCAGCCAGGTGCGCAGACGCTGTCTCGGCGCGGGGTGGACTGCTTGCTTGACGTTACTTCGGACGCGACCTTGCTTTCGTTCCGGGTCATACAGAGCGCGGAGGACGCTCAAGGCTTGATTGCCTACGCTAGCGAGTTGCTGGCATCTAGTCGGGAGTTGCAGCAAGAGCTTGCAGCGCTGCAGCGTATGCTTGTTGCCGCGGAGGTTTTTCCGGAGTTGCCTCTTGGTGGTATGCCGGCCATGGCGCTCTTCCAGTGTCTGGTCTTCCTTTACATGTGGTCGGTGCTCACCTTGAATTATTCATTTTTGCTGTCCAGCACCTTCTTAAGACTGGTGGCTTTGCCGCTGCAGGAGGCGAAAAATTTTGATATCTTGGCCGTGGTGCACAAGTACTGCTACGTCACGTGGCTCCACCGGACGGCGCGTCCGAGCTGCTGGCAAGGCAACGCTCTCCGCTTATTGCTGCCAGACACTGCCGACTGGGAGGCTTGGTGGGCGGCGCAGCAGGACGTGGCGCACGAAATTGATGAGACTGCCTTCTCGGAAGAGTACGCGCTTATGTGCAGGGATCCTTTGATCCCCGAGGGCTACCGGGCAGACTTGAAGCAGGTGCGGCGCCATGTGGCTGCTTCCGATCTCGGCTTGCTGCCGGAGCTTCCGCCGCGGCAGTCCTTTATGGAGCACGATGTTTACTTGGAGGCAAGCGGCGCTTTGCCCTTGCCGAGAGCCTTGCCGGCCATTCGATGCTCGGCCGGGGCGATGGAGGTGAACTGGGGCGACAACACTGGTGAGCCCCTAAACACTTCGCGGGACAATGTGATCTCCGAGACGGATGTCTGCTTGCAAGTCCCGTTGCCGGTGCCTGCAGATATGACTTTGGGGCACGTCCTGCTTTCAAGGGACTGGCGAGCCTCTTTCGAGCAATCCAATCTCGGCATGCCTTGGTGGATGTCAGACGCAGGCGGCTTTTCTGCCCCTGCTGCTGGCCACGCAGGCGGCTTTTCTGCCCCTGTCTCAGCCCTTGGAGCGCAAATCCACTTGCAAGCTTTGGGAGCTGAAATCATGGCCACGCTGAGGCCCGACAGTGTGATGCATCCACACTTGCGAGCACACGTGGAGCTCATGCTGGGCATGTGTGCTTCCGTGCACTTGGCGCGCCAGGAGGCTTGGGATGTTGCCTTGTATGACTTTCTTTTAGGCTGCGGCATCAGAGCGCAGCGCACGCGTCCTGGCGATGCCGATGCCGGCTGGGTGGCGCATAACTACCGCAAGAGGCACCACGCTGCCCGCTCTGTGGTGCGACCCGTTTGCTGCACCATGTGGGGTGAAAAGTATCGCCCCATTGGATACTTAAACGATGCGGGGGACATCGAGCACTACTTGGTGCACGACACATGCCCTCTTGGAAGATGTCGCAGGCACAAGCAGCTTATGGGCTTTGGCACCGTGTGCCCACACTGGCATGGCTTCAACAAAAAACACGGCATCATGGCCACTCTGAACGCGCAGCGATACTTGAGGTACACGGAGATCGGAAGCAAAGGGGCTGACCCGCGCGCGCGAGACCAGCGGGCCAGCCAGTATCTTCGCACGCTTTTGCAGGAGTTAGGCTTTGTGGCCCGTGCGGACGAAAGAGCAGCAGACGGCGATGACCGCGTGATGCTCATAGGCCTTCCCCGCTGGCTCCCTGAGTTTCACAGCAACGAAGGCCAAGACATACCCGGCTTGGTTGCCTTTACTCCGCTGCACGCCAAAAAACACTTCGAGCAAAATGACATTGACGAGTGTCTCCAGCTTCGCACCGCGGCGCAAGAGGTGCACGATGACCTTGAACGCTTGACAAGACAGCGCTGAATGCGCTTGAGATGCGCCAGGGTGCGTCTTTTCTGACCGCCCGGCGCTTGCCAGGCCGTGTGCCTTGCAGTGTGCCTTGCCTGGCAGCATGCGTCTTTTCTGACCGTGCTGCCTTGAACAGAGACAAAGTGAATCTGCCCGCATAAAAAGGAAAAAGAGCCGGTGGGACAACGGGCGGGCGGATGGTAACAAAGGGTAAATGATGGAGGCTTAAGACTTGTCAAACATTTGCGGTCAGGCAGGCTCCCTGTCAGCCAGGTTTTCTTTCCAGTTTTTGTCCGAGCGGTGGAATAGTTGCCTGTGAAGACATGACCTGTTGATTTCTTTTGTGACCGTTTGGCCATGTTCGTCACAAACAAAACATGATTGGTTTTCAATTTGGCCCCAAACATGTTTGCCCTGGTTGTTCAAGCCTCCTATAGTGGTTCTTTTTTAGAAACTTCCGCCACCGCCTTGCGCGGTACTACTTGTAAGGATAAAGTCCAGTAACTCGCTGAGTGAGTTGTTGGCACCTTTCTTGGTTTGATTGACAATTTTGAGTGGGGAAGCCATCAGCTGAAAGGGTGTCACAACTGGGAGTTCGGGCGTCACAACTGGGAGCTAGGAAAGTCACAACTGACAGGAAATGCTTTTGGCACCTTCCGTATAGAAGGGTTTTGCGAACCTTGGGTGGCAGCCACAGTGGCGAGTTAGGACTCCAGGTGGAAGCAAATAAACTTCCATTCGGTTAAGAATATGTTTTATTTTCCCCTGTTGGTTTCAAAGGGAATCTATGACTGGAAATATGTTCTCATTATTCCAGGGGACTTAAGCACAAATGGGTATAGGTCAAAATTAAAACCACCAGGAGACCGCTGGTTTGAGTCCCTGTTTCCATGTACCAGGGTTCCATTTTCGGTACATATGTTTGACTCACAGCCAAATAAAGGCTCCAGTGTCCATTTTTCCAAGGGGTGTCGACGAACTCACGACAGGAGCTCGGAGAAAAGCTCCTGAGGGCGATCAACCCTCAGACTGGTCACGTGGCAGCATGTTTGAAACTCGTTGTGGGCCTGAGTTCCCGGACTTTATATGTGTATGTATATATATATATATATATATATTTGGGGGGGAGACCCTTTTTAGTGGTAAATCACAAGTTTGGACTTTTTGACCAATCCACTCAGGAAGTGAGTTTTGGAACCTCCGAAAGTGGCAGTTTCAATGGACAGCACTGGTGAATTGCAACTAAAGGGGAAATCCAGTGACCCCTTTTGGCGCCTCATTTTCCTCACGTCTCTCTTTGAAGAATGGACCTAAGACCAATTTTGGAATCGAGCTCACAGATGGAATTAATCAAGCTCGGACCTCATGAAGATCCTGTTGCTTTGGCATTGGCTGCACTGCTGAAAACATAGCTGCACACAGCTGCATGGGTTCGTGCAAGGGAAGATGGTTTATCAAGTGCTGAAGCCAACATGCAGGGAACCCTTAGTTGGTGGTTTGGATTTGGGGATTTGAGCCTCTGGTTCTTGTAGAGGGTAAACGGGAAACCACGCCTAACCACCAAATCACCAATCCAAACCACCAATTAGGGTCCGGCCACTTATTGCCTGAGGCTTCCCCATGACCCAGGTGAATCTCAGGACACGACCGACTTTTGTCATGAGAGTTCCCATGAAGACCATGGGAATTGCAGCCGCAGGCCAAGGGAGAGCCCATTTAAGGCCTTGACTCGCTGGGTTCACTTCAGTTTTGGGTTGCTATTTGGGAGGGCTATGTTCGCCGCATTGGGAGGACTGGCGAGGGCAAGAAGGGCTGGTACTCTGGTACCTTGCTGGCCGAGGCTCGCGCCGGCTGGTTTTTTCGCCAGAGACGGCAGATATGACTGGTGAAATGGAGCCTTGTAGCGGGGGGTACCCTTCTGTCAGTCTCTCCAAAGCCGCCCAAGGTTGAGTCCTGCTTTCTGGAGTGCTGATTCGAGTCATGCAACCGGCAGGCACGCCAACAAGGACGGAAGGGCAGTACAAGTAATTAGTGTGAGTGCCATGACACAACTGAACAAGTTGCGATCCAGTTGGCAGACGCTTGACTACAAAAGCAGTCCGCTTCAGGTTACTTTGGCTGGTAGATCGCATGGCAAGACAAGGCTTAGGATTATATCAAGGGCCTTTGGAGATCGGGGCGAAGACGAAAGTATCCGGAGCGAGGACTGGGAACGAACCCGGGCTTTGCACAGCATGACAGATACGCTTCATCTCAGGGCTTTTTGTTAAATGTCACAATTGATAGTGTGTTGTGCTGTCCTCGCGGTTATTGAATAGGCCGGTACCATCCAGCTGGAGTTCCGGTACCTCTCGCAACAGCCGCGGGGCAGAGGTTAATTGGAATGGGAGTGTCTTGAAATTGGGGAATCGATTCCCCCAACAATCGCGGTGTTCAACTTTTTGCCTGTCCAGTTCTCCCAGAGGCAAGTCTGACTTTTTGAAAGGAAGTCCGAGTCTGCCCAGAAAATGGTCGCCTCGTTATTAAAAAAAAAAAAACGGAATGGACGCTAAAAGCCGCGCCCCTGAGCTGCAATGGAACCCCGTGGCTTGCAATGGAACTCCAGTGCTTCCTTCCTGCGTTTTGCCAATAGGCAGCCAGGTATCCGTTTTATCCCACGATGTAAAAACTGCGTAAGGATCCCCGACGTATAGTGCCTGTTCATGCCAACTGGAAGCACTGGGAACTCAAATGATCCCTAGCTAGCGAGCCTTGGTCGTCCCTGAGCTTCCGTTGCCCAAAGGCTCGAATCCGAATCGAGCTGAAATGTTGGTCCACGTTTACAGGTCGCAAAGGGGCGACCAGTTTCTCCAGGTCCATTGGGGGGATGAAACTTGATTGTTTTTATTGCCCACGGGCCGCAGGGGCATGGATGGACCGCGGTGCAGCATCCTTTTGATGCAACGAAGCAACGAAGGGCGCTTGACATTACGCAGGCGGGCCATGAACATGATTCAGGAATGTCAAGCTATGGGGGTTCGTCGATCAACAGCAGGTTTCGGAGATAGTGAGCTGTTTGCCACGTGGGAAGGTCACGAGGCACATCCCCACAAGCCGGATTCTCGAGCAGCCAGCCGTGCGACACCTCTAAAGCTCTCAGCAAATCGGCGGATCCGAGCGTGAACAGCTTGCGGAAACACCTGCCATTCCAAGCAGCTCCTAGCACAATGGTTCTAATTTCTCAAGCCCAGAGTTACAAAGGACTTTCCTTTTGCGAAGCCCAGGTGAAGCCAATTTTAGTGGTGGACTAAACGTTCGGCTTTTTCTTTCTGGCCAATCTCAGGAAGTGAGACTTTGAGGTTGACAGGCACGCCCATCGAAGCAACTGAGGCTGGGCGACCCCAGGTTTGCAGCTGCTGGGGACAAAGCGATGCGGCAAATCCTCCAGGCCGTGCTGAACGGGGGCGGCAGGTTTCACTTCCCTGGGCTGGATATGGGTTTTGCCACATGTAGGCTGCCGGTCCCCATTTTAGTCCGGAAAAGCGGGAGAGGGTCAGTAGTTGGCTCGGGGGGGGGGGGGCAGAGGGTTCGATTCTTCCCTGGGCTGGATTGTTTTGCCACAGGTAAGAGTGAAAGCAAACAGCAACCAACCTAATAACAATTCATAAATCACAAGGACATACTAAAAAATGACCAAACACCATCACAACATAATAATAGCAATCGCAACACTCATCATAATGCAGATGTAGGTCTAAATACTAATAAAAAAAACTAGTAAACATAATACTAAGGATTATAATAGATAAGAATAGCAATGATAGTAATGTAGATGATAAATGGCGATAATCTAACTTTTTGAGTTCATGAACTTTAAACTTTTTTGGGCTTGGACCATTTTAGCGGTAGATCTAAAGCGTGGTTACTTTTCACACAACCCCCAGATCCCTGACCCCCGTTTTTTTCCTGTGATAGTGAACATATTTTGTTAAAATTCAGAGAAGAAAAAACAGGACAACTGGGCCATATAGTACCATTAATATAAAGACACACGCACACAGAACCCCCCCCCCCAGGTTTTTTGGGTTGAGACTCTGGATCCGATGTGCGAGGCGGAGAATGGCCAGGGTTTGGTGCCTTGGGGCCTCTCGAGCTCCGGCACCCCACGCTTCACCAACAGCCGGGGGCCCCGTTTCGGGGCTCGTTTCGGGGCTCGTTTCGGGGCCCGGGGCTCGGCAGGGCCCGGTTTCGCCCCAAGACATGCGGCTGGGGGGGGGGACAGGGGGGGGGGGACAGGGGGGGGGGGTTGTTGTTTTGTTTTTTTACGGGATTTTGAGGGTGATGTGTATGGTTGACGTCTTTTTTTGGGTTAATGTGGTTGTCTTTCTTTGCTTAGGTGTTTTTTTGGAGGGCAATGCGCCCCTTTTTGGTGTCATGTTGTTTTTTGGTGGTTTGATTGAATGTACCCCCTTTTGAGGTCATATTTTTGGTGGTTGTAGATCTTGTTCGAGGGTAATTTGCCCGGCAATGTAGCCCTGTTTTGTGGGTTTAGGTCTTTTTGAGGAAAGTAATTTCAGGTGTTTTTTTGGGGGGTAGTTCCTCTTTAACCTACCACTTGAGGGGTGACTTTGACAGTTTTGTTTGGTCTCCGGAAAATGTGGGGGGTGCTCTCTTATGCATTTGGAAACTCACTCCCTCAGTTTCTGGACTTTAAGCTTTTTGGGTTTGGACCATTCTAGTGGTAAAGCAAAAGTTTGAACTGTTTCTGGCTAACCCACTACGGAAGTGAAGTCATGTTGATTGCGTCTTCTTTTTTTGTGGTTGTAGAGGGAAACCAACACCGGACTCCATTTTGGCTATGTGCCCGTTTTTCCCCATTGCCTGCCAAACGTAGTTTTTGTTTTGCCTTGTTGGTTTCCTTCATTTTGCCTTTCAACCAGCAAGCAGTTTAAAGCCGAACCTATGTTTCGCACGTGGCGATTGAGAGAGCAAACATTTCAGGTCTAGGTATGGCCCAGATTTGGCTGTGCGTCAAAATAGGGGTCTTCAGCCCCCCAAGCTGAAGGTGGGGCAACCCAGCTTTGCCACCGGAACCACTTGGAAGACCCTTTTTGGATGAGGGTTCCCTCTCTTACCTCTTAAAAACACAACTTTTCAACTTTTTGGGTAACATGGGCAATATATGTCTGTAAAAGATTAACTTCCCCAGGGCTTGGAGTTTTAAGAGGTAAGCTCTTTGTCCCTTGAAGGACTGTCATTTCGAGTCACCCTACTTCCCATGTTTTGCCTGGTTTTTAAACATCGGCTTTTAGGCATCTTGGCTAAGCCATTTGCTTCCCCCGCCCTCGGGCGGGGCGCTGCATCTTCAGTGATCTACTTTCCGGCCAGGACAGCTTCTTTGTCGGTATGGTGTGCAGCTTTGTCCAATTTGAGATTTCTGTGGCTTGCCCCCTTCGGCCTCGGCTTTGTCTCCGTCATGAACATCGTGGTGGTGCTGGGTCGTTCTTTGTAGCGTGGCGTTGCCGGCTGTGATGTTTCGCATTTTTGGTGGTCACTTGCTTCTCGCCCTGGGCCGGCTCGTATCCGCTTCTTGCCGGAGTTGGAGGGCTTCCTCTCTTACTTGCCCTTGGGCGCGCTACGTGCAGTCTGTGCTTCCGCCTCACCAGGACTCCCCGAATGCTTGGATGCGCATGGCCCTCCGGATTCGTTCCTATTGTGAGACGGCTGAGTTGAGCTTGTGGCTACAAATCTTTTTGAGGCACTGTCGGTACTGATATCCGCTTGCTACATAGGGCGGGCCTGACACGAATTGGGTTTGTCCCGGCAAAGGCTTTTCGTGTGTTGGTTCGTCCTTTCCTCCTCTGGGTGTGCTTCGGCTTGGTTACAGGCTGCTGCCCTCTTCTTTGGCTGCCCTGTGTTTCCACTCCTCCCTGGAGTGCCGTTGCCCTCGGCCAAAGTACTGGGGTTTTGATCAGACCTCGTTGCCGGAATGGCCCGGTGGTAGGTGCTCGCCCTGACGCTTGCGCCTGTTGGATAAACATCGCCTTTTGGCCCCCCGCAGGTGGGTTTCCGTTGGTAGGGGCGGTGTGCAAGGGGAAATGCAGAAAAACACCTGAGTGCGGTAAGACGGGAAGTCATGTGGTCTGGGTGCAAACATGCGCATTTGACACCACAAGGGGGTGGGCAATTAGTTTTCCTAGATTCCCAATGTGGCATCCGTGATGGTCCAAATGACCAATGGCATTTTGTTCCTGCGACCACGACCCAATTTAGTTTTACATATTTGGCATGGAGATACTTTTGAATAGTTTGGCTTGCCTTGGAACATGTTGGGCGTAGATGAGCAGAGTACCAGTGGAGCCGGCAAAGCCGGTGAAGATCTATACGTCTGTGTCTCGTCGTGTTCTTCTTTGTTTTCTCTTCTTGCTGTTTGTCATTGTGTCTACCAATCTACCTAACCATCTATCCATCCATGCGTCCAACCGATCTATCTACCACAATCAATGTTTATCTATCCATTCATCGATTCATGTATTTGTCTAGCTTCCTATCTAGCAGTCTATCTAATCAAATCTAGCCTAACCCAAAGCACCAATTCATCAAACCATCAATCAATCAATCAATCAATCAATCAATCAATCAATCAATCAATCAATCAATCAATCAATCAGTCAAGCAACCAAGCAAGCAAGCAATCAATCTAACCCGATCAAATCCAATCTAGTCTAACCTAGTCTAAACCAATACACCAATCAACCAATTAACCAATCAATTAGTCAATCAATGTTTCTATCCGTCTGTTTGTCTGGGTGGCTGGTTGTCTGTCTGTCTGTCTGTCTGTCTGTCTGTCTGTCGTGATCCGAGCCTGGTCCGACCGGCAAGCTGGTCCAAACTGTCTAGCGCTTCAGAAGCCGCCCTCCAAGCACTGGACCAATAGAAGTCGTGAACATGTTTCGGGCCCACCGGGGTTGGCTCGTCGAGCGCGGAATGCGCTCAGCTTAGGCCACATCACCCTGGGTGCCATGGGAGATTCCTACTATGAGTACCTGCTCAAGCTGCAACTTGGATTGAGTGCCCTGAGTGCCCAGCCCAGGGCTGTGGGATCACTCGGGGTTTATTCAACCACTTCTGTGATACAAGGGAAAATCTTCGCCATAAAGAAGGGGGTGTTAGTCTTTGGGGAGCCCTTTTTGTTGTATCACAAGAAGTCCTTTCCCACAACCCTGGCCCAACCTGTCTGTTGGAAGCCTCCGTGGGACCTAGTTGCACTGCTCGTTTGCTTTGGCCCATTCTTAGATGCCGGCTCATGGCCTGTGGCCTGCGTTGCTGTCTCTACTTTGGTAGGGAGCCACATGAAATGTGCGCGTTCACAAGGTACATCCAGTCCGACAAGACAGAGCCAGAATGGAAGGATGCAGCGTGGCCTGATACTTGCCGCTTTCGGACAAAGATTCATGCTCACTCAAGGGGGCCTAGGGAGCCTCACACACGGCCACTCGAGTGAGCGAGTATCTCCGGTTTCTGCGGTCATTGTCCGATCATGAATGGCTTTGGGAGCTTGCTCGCTCTTAATATGGGGCTGACGTCCTTTTGAGAGACTGGTCTTGCCGGCGCTGTCTCACAGGTGCGTTGGGAGGAATTGCAAACACCGAGCTTGAGATCGTACAAAAAATAGTCCCGCCTTTCAAATGTTTGTTTGCGGCCCAAGGCAGGGCTCCTATTGAAGCAGCTGATGATAGTTTGCCAGGAAAGAAGTCATAGGGTCCAACCTTCCCCCCCAGCTCTATTAGGGTGCAATTTCCTCAGGCTGTGGCTCCATTAGGCGGGCTGGGCTTTGCCTGCCACAAACTGCGACTGGCTGGCTCCTAGACCTCATTTCAGGCCGCAAGGCCTTGGCAGGAAGTCAGGGGGATCCACCTCCCCCCCCTTGTTCTGTGAGACCCCATTTAAGGCAGGAAACCAAGGGGGGCTGGACAAAGCAATGGGCGATTTGAGGCTTGGAAGCGAGCCATGGGCAAAGCCTTCCAGCGCCTGATTTTCACCACCAAAGGCAGGGGGTGGCATGGGTGGCATATTATCCATAAGCTGTGGGTGCGTCTTCTAGACGAAGGTTCCTGGTACCTGTCAACTCACTTGCTTTCCGTTGGACAAGCGCAACCGACAAAAATGGCTCCCCTTTGGGCACCGCGGAATCAAGCCGCGGGCCAAGTGTTGAAGCTTGGCAGTTTAGGCCCTGCGTGAGGCCAGGAACCGCTCAATGGCCCACAAGTTTGCGATTTCTCTCAAGGAAGCCATCAGGGGAAGGACAGTCGCTTGCTTTCCCCAGTTGCCCGGTTTATCCCGTAGAACGCCAGACTGGCGAAGTTTCATGGGGGCGTTGACAGTTGCCTTCGGGATTCCCGCGTCAGGCGGGCTGACATACATCGCAGAGGAGAAGAATGGCAGAGCAGATCACAAAATGGACCACTTGGCATGCTTTGTAGGCCTGGTGTTTGCCTTGCATCGCGCCGGTCAGCTGCCGTTTGTTGCGAATTCCGCGTTTTGTAAGGGAAGGCTTTCTGCGTAGCACATGGGAAGTTTGCCTCCGTGTCAAATTTGTCACCACGGAATGATCAAGCTTTCGCCTGACGGCTCAGCATTTTAAGGTCTGTGCGTGGATAAGGATTCGTTGGTTTGCTGCCGCCTTTGGGCTGTTTGTCATCCATGTGGCCCATTTGCTTAATGCAGCTGAAAGTAGGCGGCGGGCAATCACCAGCTTGGTAAAGCCACGAGGGACTTGTGCTATCTAATCTTCGGTCTGGTGTAAGGAAGACACCTGTCATGCTTCAGCGGCCGGCAGCCTCATGGCTGACAAGGCTAGAAAAGCCTTTGAGTGGGCGCCCCGGTTTGCCCATTTCGAAAGTTCATGTGACATGCAACCGCAAGGAGTACTATACGCGTTTTTTCAGACGACGTCATGTTTGAGAACAGGTCTCAGGCTTCACAACATGGGGACCCCAAGATGGTGGGTTTTCCTTTTGGCTTCCCTTCAAAACCGCCAAAAAAGGGGTACCAACTCCACAGCTTTTTCCCATGTGCAAACTCTCAAGTACCGTCCAAAACGCAGTTGTTGGGGGTGCTGGCATGTCTCTTTTTGGTGGCCCGGAGCACGCGCCTGTCGCACACCCACGCTTTCGGCGGCTTAAGCACCGCTTGCAGGCGGCATGCTCATCTATGCCGCTCGCGAGCTCAAACCGGAGGAGCTCGCGAGTCCGGAAAAACCGGAAAAAAAAAACAAACACGATGTGGGTGGCTCGTCTTCCTTTTTTCGGATGTGTCCGGTGGCTCGTGTTTTTTTTGGTTCGGCTTCGGGAAGCCAAGGGGAAAGGTGTTGCTCGCCATTTTGGGGGTGCCTAAACGACGCCATGGCCGTGGTTGTCAGTTCCAATTGGGATACCATGTTGGGGGTGTTCGGTGAATTCACCTCCCATTTTAGAACCGATTTTAGTGGTTGGATTTTGGGAGGTTCACTGAGGGTAAGGGATTTTGACTGGCCACGTGTGCGGGTGCGCTTTGGAGACGATCCCAACTCAAAAGCCCGATCTTGCCGAGCCGCTGCTCCTCAGCGCGCGAAGACCACTGAGTCACTGGCGTGGGCAGCTCACAAATGCTGCCGTGTCTCAGACAAGTCCTTGAAGGTGACGGAAGGTGACGGATTGTTTCGTGATTCCTGGAGTTGGTTTTCTCATTGAAGCAGGAGCCCACATCTTGAGCAAGAAGAATCAAAAAGACAAGTCCTTTTTGCAGAACACACACGGGGGTGTTTTTTTGAGGGGAACCCAAGCCGTTTTGGGGTCCAACCTTTAGGACAAGAAAAAAACCGCCACATCTTCTTTGCTTTTTGGCAGGAGGTGGATGCACGCTGGGAGCAGACTGCCGCTGGGATCACGGAGACCTGCTATGAGACGCTTTGCGGCAAGCCGCCGCGGGTTCAGCCGGGAACCATTGGTGTCCTTTTTGGTGGCCCTGGTTTACCTGGTGGTTTCACCATCTACCAGGGCCGTCTATTTGCCCTAAAAGGACACCTATGCCGGGAACGGCAATCCCGATTCCAAACCGCGTGGACGTTCTCTGTGTTTTTACGTCGAAGTTGTGGTTGGGTACACTTTGGGCCCGCAAACTGGTTGGTGTCGGAAAAAGAGGGTGCACGCTTTTGTAGGTATTTTTATGGAAAGCAAAAGGACAACCACCAGTTTAAGAGGTCGCGATTTCTAAGAACCCCAAATATTACAAGGGAACAAGGGGGGGTTCTGTGTAACTCCCTCTTGATTTCTGGTGGGTTTACTTGCGACATCGAGTCGGCTCTCTCTTTCGCGTCCGGTCGAGGATGTACCATCGCCAGCCGTCGCACCTGGCGCCGGAAGCCTCTCGCTTCAACCTGCAGGGCGGCCAGGGCCAGGACATGCGCCTCGGCAAGGCACACGCAGTGGAAGCCATGCGGATTCTCAACGAACCCCCAGAAAAGCCATCTGTGGTGTCCTAGACTCACTTCCTGAGTTCATGAACTTTAAACTTTTTAGGAAGACCATTTTAGTGGTAAATACAAAGTTTGGACTTTTTTTAGGCCATCCACTCAGCCAGTGAGTAGGTAATCCCGAAACGGTGCATTCCCAAACCCAGGGTACTCCCTGAGCACCAGCAATAGGTGTCACCCAGAATCCAGACTTTCTCGGGGAAGCGAGGGAAACTGGGTTACCTCAAAATCGGAGTTGGACCCTAGTTCGGGTTGGTTTTGGAGGGAAACGTGAAGAAGCTTGGTTTAAACAAAGCAGGAATCGGACCACTTGGGGTGGGAAACCTTCTCACAGACCCATTCGGATCTGACTTGAAGCCTTGAGGATCTATGGGGCTTAATATCCTGTGGGTTTCATTTGGTCAGCCTGAGTTGTTCAAAATCCTCAAGACCAAAGCTTGATCCTATTGCAGATGGTGGTGTTTTCCCTTGTTGTAGTGGTTTCGACTATGGAAAGCGGATTGTGATGAGGGCTCCCCCGCATATTCGAACAACCCAGAACGCTTCTTGCCGGTTTACACTTCGGAAACTTCTGGACATATCGCTTCCGGTGGTAAACGCAGAATGTATTCCACTCAGCAGTACAGGTTTCAGGCCTTTGGAATGTGTTGGAACATCGTGCTGCAACAACGGCGCGCTTTTGATTGGTCCAAAAGTGTCCCACCGGCAAAGTGACTGACACTTTTACGGCGACAGGAAATCTGAAGCGGCTTGGCGTTCTTGTCTTCCTTGTCCAGGCCCCAAACAAATGGTTCCTAAATGGAGGATACCCCGGCGGTTCCTCGGCTGAGTCGCGATCCAAGGAACATTTGGAACAACGCGGCGCAGTACCTGCTGCGCCCAGAGGCTGCAGAGGCCTCACATCGGACGGTCGGACGGTGTGGTTCTCTTGAGGTTGGTGCCAGTTTTTCTTTATGGCTTATTTTGTAAAAAACCTTTGGACTTTAAATTGTTTGCTCCCTTCACTAGTTTGCTCCCTTGAACTAGTTGGTTTTCCATTGGACACGGACCCTCACCGGTGTTCTCTGCTTTATGGCTATTTGGTAGCGGATCTGTTCACTTCAACTTAAACAGGTGGGCTTGTCCGCGTAAAAGTGCAGAGGCGTAATGACATCAGAGTTGCAAGCAAGTTCAAGGCTGTCTCCAAGTAATTAGGTAGTGTCAATTTGAACAAGTACAAGGGGGCGTCCACATTGATGCGGTATATCTTTGTGTGTCAAAAAAGAGCCGCAAAAGAAACCGCAAGTGCCATGATTCTTTCCAGGCTGTGGTTGTGGTAAATCGGGCTTCAGGACCGCTTTGGCATCGCACGTGTGACTTCCCACAACGCTATTTTTGGCCATGTCCTACTAAAACCGTCATGCAAAAACTAGAGGCAAGCAATCCCAATTATCTAACATAGTGATTTGCCCGGCAGCACTGGCTGATTCTTTCCAGGCCATGTTCTACATGACCAGGGCAAGTCTTGACGTACCTCACCTGGACCAATAGCTGAGCTTCGTCTTGGCACTACAAAATGGAAGCTACAAGCAAACTGCAGCTTTTGAAGCGGAAGTCCAATGACCCTTGCTGGAATCCCTGTCCCAGGCCATTTTCTACATGTTCTACTACACCGGCGATCCAAAGTACCGACGCTGGGCTGGGGAGATCATGGAGGCGATCGAGAAGCATTGCCGCGCCCCCTACGGCTACAGTGCCTGGCAGAGAGTCAAACGGTTTGGACAGGGGGGGAAATGGCCCATGACGGGGAAGTAAAAACACAAGCCAGCATTTGGGATCTTAAGTTGTCACACCCAACTGCCAAATGTGTGACATGTTTGCTTGTTGAAACAGCGGAAACCGTCTCCGGTGGTTTCCTTGAAGATGGGCCGTAGTTTTGGACCTCGACTGAGAGTATATTATTTTTGGTGCATTTTGCTTGGCTGTTAGGACTTTAACTTTTTGCCAACTAATACATTTTCCGCTAAACCACTAAAAGTTAAACTTTTAGCAGGGGAGCAGAAAGCAACCGAGAGTATATGTTAGCATTTGAAGGTTTGCTATCTTTTGGGCAAGATTCACGGGAGCTCTTAGATGCATTGCACGCGGGTTTTGATTTTTTTTCTTCAAAATCCGACATGGCCGCCAAACCGCTTGTTTTCATTTGTGGTTTACCCTGAAGAAGCAAGGGCGCACTTACACACTATATATATATATATACACACTGCCTGATTTGATCATGTTGATCTAGTTCTGAGCAAACCGAATCAGGTTGGTTGTGTTGAGAGCATCTTTTTCACTTTATTTTGAAGGGAAACCGCCAAAAGAAAAATGCTTGGGGGTCCAAGTTCCTTTGACGAGCCATGCTCATATCTCGCGTCCCCCTGTCCAAGATATTTTTTGACTACCCCCAAGCCACAATTGGTTCAATGGGATATGTAGGGGGGATCCAGGCGTGTTGATATGTACCCTCGGTGATTTTGCCCATTGGGGGGGAGGGGTGGGGTAACACATCGGCTTTTTCTGACTGAACTGCGCTCACGAACGCACACCTGCCGAGCGCACGGGCGAACGTGCGGGACGGGTCAGGGCTCTGAGACGCTCACACACACACACCCACACGCACAAACGTACAAACACACACTCACACACCAACCAAACACAAACAATATTTCCATAAATGTAGGCCTTCACTTTCCAACAGTCCTATTATTAGCCACTGGGGCTGGTGAGGTCCGATAGGGATGGCGTATACTTAAATGAAATCTGCACGCGCAATTGCTTCAGGTAGCGAACTCCTCCCTAGGGGCTAAACTAGATCTCGAAGCTGCAACGCAGAGGTTCGGGTCTGAAACAAGGCTGTCCGAGTTTTGTCCCTGGTTTCACTGGACATTCCTCATAGGCCCCTCCTGTTTGCAAAGAGCTTCAGAGCAGGTTCGGGTGCCAGAGAGCTATGGAGCTATGTGGTTTACAGCTGGCAGTCGTTGGATGCCTTCGTTCCCCCCTCGACTCGGACAAAAGTTGCCTCTAGGCGCCGTGACGGACGTGCGCCGCGCGCCCCCGGCGCAGCGGAACGAGATGGAGACCTTCTTCCTGGCAGACGCTAAGCGGGGAGGGGATGATTGAGCAAAAGGCAATCTTGACCTGAGCGGTTTTTCGATGCCGTGGAATTGTGGCTTTCCCCTTTAGATTCAATGTTGCATCTGTGGGCGGGGGGTGGTCTCGGAAGATGGATTCAATTTCCTTCTTGAAGGGACCCTCCCTCAGGTGTCACCTTCGTGGGAGGGAGGGTGCCTGTTTATGTTGCTTGCTCTGTCGGGTGTGCAGCATTTTGCCGAGCCAAGCAGCAGAAAGTTTGACCCCAGGGTATGACTATAGGTCTGGCCAAGTGTTGTGTGACCCGCCAGGCTTGTCCTTAGAAAACCTTGTTTGACAAATTTGTCGAAGTGTCGGTTTTCGGAGGCATGCCAGCCTTGTCCAAAGAGGACGGCTCCGTGACCGGCTGGGTCTGCGTGTGTTGGGTTGATGAGTAGAAGTCCCAACATGTTTTTTAGTTGGTGATTTGGCGGAACGCTTTAAACAGGTTGAGCTGGATGATGGCACAGGTGGGTGAATTTACAGGTATGTGGGTGAATGTAGTTGGGTGGAGCCTAATGTTTTTGCGGCGGCTGGGTGATTTCGTGGATGGCACAAATTGCCTTCTGTTTAGCCACCCATGCGGCTGGAACATGGATGGCACGTTTATGGCGCGCGTGTGACCCGACGGGGGGGGGGCTTTCCCAATTTGAGGACATGACCGGTGGCAAATTGCTGGCTGGGCCAGACAAACAACTGTCGTTCAAACAAAACCCTTTGATTCCCCTTTACCTAAGATTTCACCTGGATGCCACGCTAGCTCAAGTCCGGCAGGCAGATGGTTACTCGGCGGAGGCTTCCCTTTTTGGTCTGGCTGTTTTAAGAGTTGCCCATGCCCATGCTGAAAAGGCCGAAGGCTTGGTCCAGCCATGTGGAAGGGCTTTCGGATCCCAGCTTCCAGACAAGCCACGAATAAGAGGGAAACTTTGATGTAACACCTAGAGGTAACAGTACCTGGTTACCTATAGAGAAAAGTTTTTGGGACAGTTTCGGTTTGTGGCGAAACTGATAAAATCATTTGATGACACCCATGCCATTTGCTTTCCCCCTGTTTTACATGCTGCCCATCCATCTAAGGCGCTAAGGGTTGCCGCACGTCCAGGAAGGTCAGCTGACTTCCCGCTTGAGCAAGCAGGCTTCATGTCATCACCGTGTTTAGAATGGCATCGCATGGATCGGAGTTGGCGCAGATCCGCAGCCTGAGGAAACACTGAAGTACCTCTACCTCACCTTCCTTCCGAACCCCCGTGCAGCAGCCTGGCATGATGGCGAGTGAACGCTGTGGAGTGAATGGCAAGAGCCGCAATCGGAGACTGAGATAGGCCATCCGTTGCTCCCGAGGAGGTCTTGTAACACGCGCCTGGAAGGTCACCGGTGAAGACAGACCCAAGCAAGGGAACAATAAACTATTTCTACTGCACCAGTGAGAGGGGAATCAACTGTTTCTACTGCACCAAGGAGAGTTTAAAGTTGAATCCCTTTGTCACATGTAAAGAAGCCCGTGAAATATTTTCAGACATAAGTACTAAGCTCAAGGAAGCCCAAGTAGCAGCGCTTGGAAACAGAATGCACATGGAACGCGGCATAGCGGCCAATTTCCAGGTCGCGTCAGTTGTGCACCGGGCCCTGGGTATCGTTTGCTTTGCTGCGATGTGTGGCAGGGCTCCTTAAAAGATACATTTTGGCCATTCGAAACATGGCTTTTTCCACCAAAATAAAGGGCCACCACCATTTACAAGGCAATGTTCAGGTGTATAATGTAAGGATCCCTGTGTGGTTAAGTATTTTCTCATCGGCCCGGCCTTCGCCCGCGCGGAGGTTTTGAACCTGGATGACTTCGTGTTCAACACGGAAGCGCACCCCATCCGCAGAGCGACGGCGGCGGTGGATGCGGTCAGAAACCGCCAGCAGCACTTCTTGGGCAAGTGAGCGGTCACCAAAACCTTCGAGGAAGTCATCCAGTTTCAGCTTGTTCCGACAACATGATCATGCGGTGCACATGTTTTGCATATGTTGGATTTTGTTTGCAAGTGAGCGCACGCAGGGAGCTCTTCTGGGGAAATGCACTGCTAGGAAAACGTATGGTGGTACCACTGGTCCAGTGCAGCTTTTTGCACCTCGAAGCAAGCAACATACAAACTGACAACAAGCCTACCCCTCAGCTTTCTCGGGTTTACTGAGGACACTCCAGTTAAGTGAAGGGCAGAGGCCTGTTGCTTTGTTTCAGCGGGTGGGATTGGTGCCACGTTTGCCTTTGAAGTTCTTGGGTCGGAGCTACTGGCCTTCGACGCGAGGAGATCCCAGCGCGTGCTGGGATCTGTTTGACACACGCCATTGCTAGTTGAAACGGCCTACTGGGTTTTTGAGTAGTGCTCTTTGGCCGTTCTTTTTTGGGGAGGGTTCCCTACTAAGATAAACTACAGAAAATGGGTAACCTTATTCTAACCTCTCTCCTGGAGGACCTAGTCTAGGCCTTGGGACGTCCAGGGCGAAGAATTCTGTGATCCTTTCAGGTGTTGAGTCTGGTGCGCGCTCAAAAACGACCCGAGGGATCTACCTGGCTGAAGCAGAATTGGATGATGTATTGCAAGGCGCGTCCAGCTTGAGACACGGTTCTGGCTGGGATGTTGGCCACAGTGTTTGGTTCTTTTGGTGAATTCGAAAGCCAATGACTAGGAGTTCTGAAGACCAGCCTCCAGGATTTCTCGTCAAGGCCTAGCAATCTGCCATCGCCCCGGAGAGGGCCGAATCGGCGGCGGAAGAGCTGTGGGCTAACACGGCCCAAACCAAATGCCCAGCCAAAGCTATCCGCTGCGGCCAGTGAAAATCGCTTAGCCCGCGCGCGCGGGCGTGTGATCGGTTGCCCCGCATGGCTCGCTCTGCAACTCTCTGCAGAAAGAGGTCATTTTTAGATTGTTTCTTTTTTGAGAAACCTTGAGGAAACTGCAGAGATTTGTAAATGACATCCTCTTGCTTGCGCTTCTCCGTTTCGACATGTTGTGTAGTGGGCCAGTTTCAATTTGGTCTCTTCGGGCGAGGAAGCGAACACTTGCAAGCATGTGTCAGCACTTGCCAAATGAATGGCGACTGGACTTTCCAACCAGCGCCAGCACGACATCCAAATCTTTGGAGTCGAGATACCCTCCAGCATCCTCTCTGCGCGATGGTTTTCATGCTTTCATGGCATGCAACTCTGCTCGCGCCGCTTGCGCCCGGCATTTGTTACTCGCCTTGCGCGAGCATGGAGTGCAAACATGAGCGCTGACTACACCCTGATTCTGTTTTCTTGAAGCAATATGGCATTTGTTTATACTTTATGTTCATTTGTCCGAGGAATTGCTCGATGTTTTTACACGGAAAAAACACATAAGTGCCAAACAAGGCTTCATCATGAGAACTTCAGGACCCCAAGAGACCGTCTTTCTTTTCGCACGATAAGTTTCCAAGTTGGAGGGTCATGTTGACCCCGTATTAACCAACCCCAGTCTATCAATAGGGGGGTGTCCCTGGCTTTAGTGGGAGATCATCGCTTTTGGAGGCCCCCCCCCCCATGAATAAACTGGGGTTGATGAATATGGGGCCAACATTAAATATCAACAAACCAATGTTCGCGGCATGGAGCTACCTGTGAAGCCGTTTGTGGTTGTTTGTTTCGGTCTTTCGAGAACAAAAACTGTTTTTTCATGAAGCGGCAGTTTTCCAAACGTCGGCCTTCTTTGGAGTTTCGTGGGTAGAGTGCATCTTGGAGAGCCAAACAAGGGCGGAAACACCCGGAACAAAGGCGGAAACAAGCAGAACAGGGCGGAAACATCCGGAAATCTTAGATGAGCCAGGCTACCTTTCCACAAAAATGAATGTCTTTCCAAACAACGATATTTTTTCCGAACAACGACCAAAATTTGGTGCTTTTTGCTCGAAGGTGTTGTTTTCGCACACATGGGCTTCGCAGGTAGGT